AAAAATTTGTGTACTCAATCGTTCTGAATCGTGTTCAATTGATTTTTCTAGAAGGGTACTTACAATCAGATTTGTGCTTCTTTGACGGCACAGACGAGAGGGATTCTTCGTCGATTCCTCAATTATTACGCTCGTGAATGGCTGCGAAAGGTTACACCACAAACGTTCAGTGTTCACATGTTGGTCCATCGTGCGAATAATTATTTGGAAGGGTACCACACCACCTTGAAAGAAAGACTTGGCATGCATTCTGCAACATGGAATTTTACAAGTACAATTTATAACAAACGATTTAATATAAAAAGAAATGTCTATTATAATTTTGGTCAGAATTTTTCAAACGGATTAACTAAAATGTTTTAAAAAGTACTTTCAGTGTAAAAACATTTTTATACGTAATACGATTAAAACGTCTTTTAAAAATTATTAAAGGAAAATAACTTTTATTCGAATTATTAAAAATTTATGTTTTACAGTCTTAAATAAAAAAAAATTAATATCCGATTTATCGTTAACAAAAATCAACGAAAGGTTTATTGCCTTTAACAAATAATTTTGTTTTCAATCATTTTTATTTTTAAATTGTTTACACATAAGCTAATAATAAAAAAATTATATTCTTTATGCCTCATTAAAAATTTGAATATTGTTCTATATTCCATATTCATATTTTAGTATAAAATCGTCGAGAAAAAAATTCACTGAATTTAAAAAAAAATTTTAATCATTAAATTAAAAAAAATTAAACAACAATTATTAATGAATCAAAACGTATTTACTCATTTAAACTGTTACAGGAGATTTGATAAAATTTCAAGAGAGCCTCTAAACGGATTTGAAAGCTCTTGAGCAAGGATTCTCCATCACCAGGCTTCCGAGAGTTGTAAATGTGCAGAATCAGAGGTTACTCCTAAACGCGTGGTCAATTTTACATGATAATGGATTCACACCAATGCAGTTTTTGGAACACGTCTTATCATATAAACTAAATATCGCTGAAGCCTATTTCATATTATATTCCGCAAATTGATCTACTGGACCGACAGAGGGTTTTCGCTTCTCTTCATCGCGTGTATCGATAAAGAGAGAAACAGCGTTTTAAAATTTTTTTAACTTTCTAAAAGTTTTACACTTTTTGTTCGTTCGTTTAATGTATTATTCTTGCAAAACTGTATTAAAAATTTTTTAAATGTCGACATTTTTTAATGTTTTGAAAGTTGAAATGAACAAAATTTTTTTTGGCTTAGATATTTTTCAAAATTTTTTACTCTATAGAGAAATACAAAATAAATTTTATTAACAATAAGCATTTGACTTTCTTAATATAGCAAGCAATCATTTGTGATGAAATTTAAACTCAAGTGGAGACCGAGACGACATTTGCATCTCTGTATATAAATGAATTTATTTACTTTTCTGGAAAAACATTTTTAAATAAACTTTTTTTGCGAGAAATTCAATAGTAAAAATTTTTTCCACTAAATTTTTTTACCATTGAATTTCTCGCAAAAAATGGTATAAAAAAGTTTTTCTCTAAAATTATAATAAATTTATTCATATAGTTGCAAATGTTATCGCGTTTATCAATCGAAAACAAAAATGTTTTTTTAGCTTTTTATAAGTTTGATACTTTTTCGTCCTTTCCCAGCGGGCAAAAGATCATTATTGTTTTTTAAATGTTCTAAACAGTTTTCGGGAGTATTTTAAAAACAAAGACGATTTTTGGACGAAAGGATTAGTTACTTGCATTTTAAATTTTCTTGTAGTAATTAATAAATAAATAACTTGAGTTATTTAAAAGGGACACATTCAGGCAATGTGACTTAATTATGATTATAAATTGTAATTAAAAATAAAACATTTTAGATAGTATTTTTTTATTGTTATTAAATTATTGACACCTTGAAAAGTCAACTATAATTCTATAAGAATTCTATAGATTATTGTCAATCACATATTCAATAATTTTAATTTATCGTATTCGTTAAAATACAAAAGAAAACCAAATCAAACGGTGATTTTCTTAATAGGAAATTTTGTTAATAATTCGTTTCAATTATTTTTGAAATGATTTTTCAGTATTTTTCTTTTAAAATATATAAGTGGATACAAAATTACAAATTTTCTTGCTTTAGGACAGAGAAAAGGGGTAATCAATCAGGTTTCTGAAAAAATTTGGATTTTTGATAAGAGAAATAAATTTAAATAGTAAAAGTAAAAACAAATAATATTCACCGAGCTTTAATAAAACAGGAATTTACAACTAATAAAAATTAGTGAAAACATTGAAAAGATCTAAAGAATCTTTCATTTTTAGAAATAAAAAAACACTTTTTCATTATTTTTTTTAATCTTGCTTAAATTTTGTTCTTTAAAAAATATTTTTAATTATTTTGAAAATATTACTTCATTATTATTTAATAAATAAATAATTATTTTGAACTAAAAAATAGAAGAATTATAATTAAAAATCAATTAATGATATAAATTAATTTTAGAAATTTTATTATTAAAAAATTCGAGCACTTACCTTGAACTGTAAAAATTCAAATGTTTCCCGCAAATCTACCCGGTAAGAAGCGAGGAATAGAGAAAAATTGAATGTTTGCAGACATAGAGCAGAAGTTAAGAATTTATAATTTTTCTGAATAGGCGATTTTACGTTTTTACCCAATTCCTCACTGAGCATCAAAATATCAGAAAAATGAATTCTTCTCTATTCCCAGTAGAGGTAAGTCAATAGAAAAGAATTCAGACTTCTTATTCTTCTTAATGCGCAAAGTTTCATATTTTCAGATTTTTTGTAGCGAATAGAGAAAAATTAAATGTTTGGAGAGTAAATTTTAAATATCTATTCCTTTCAATCGACAGTATCAAAATTTCTGAAGCGCATTGAAAGGAATAAGACATTTGGAGAGTGAAGTGGATATGTCTATTCCTTTTAATTGACTGTGTCATGACATCAGGAGCGTATTTAGAGGAATAGAGAATTTGTAGATTAAATGAGGTATCTTTATGCCTTGCAATTGACTGCGTCAGGTTTTTAAGAGCATATTCAGAGGAATGGGAAATTTAGGGTATAAATTTAGTATTTCTATGCCTCGCAATCGCCTGAGTCAAGTTTTTAGGACCGTATTCAGAGGAATGGGAATTTTGTAATATGAATTAAATATTTCTATTTCTTGCAATCGACTGCGTCAGATTTCTAAAAGCGTATTGAAAGGAATGAAAAAACTGGCGAGTATATTAATAATTCCTAATCATTTCAATTTTTTTAAAAATATTATAAGAAGCGAAAGAAAATGAATATAAATTTTAAGATTTTAAAAGAATATAAGTTAATATTTACTTATTGACTAATTAAAGACAATTTTAAAAAAGTTGAATAAACAACTATTTTTACTGTAAATCTGAACTTTTTCAGTGTGTGTAAAAATGGAAGTGAAACAATAGTGTACTGAATTAAATTATTTAACCAATTTTTAAACCTGATTAAAATCTTCTTTTAATTTCATTATATTTATTAATATTAAATTAACATTTTCTTAGGAGATTATTTTAAAACTTGAAAGATCTCGCGAATTTTCAATTGTTTAATTGCTGTTGTATTTTTATTGAGAGAGTTAGATAAATGCATTTTCTTCTATATATTCAATTACTTTGAAAAAATAATTTTTACATTTCATTCAATTATTTTTGAAAGTCAATTATATATTCAGTAAAGTTAATCATTTTCATTTTAATTGTTATATGTAAATTGAATTATTATTTAATATAATTATAATATAATTCTTTTACAATTTAATTATTATTTAATATAATTCTTTCATGGTTTAATTATTTCACAAATTTTAAAGTTTTTACAACTTAAATTTTATTGTTTCATTATTTTGTAAATAATTACAGGAATGACCGTCAATATTTTGTTTAATTTAAGGTAAAAAAGGGAATTTTGCCAGGTGAAAAGGGAAATTTTTTTTTAAAATAGAGGGACTGTTGTGGACTGTGGAATAATTAATGGAATAATTAAATTATTTATTGAATAAAATTTATAATAATTGAATTTTTTATGTAATATCGGATAATTGTATTTTAAATTAATAAAAATTAAAAATATTTGATTTTTTATTTGATTAAAATTTGTAATAATCGAATGTTTCATTGATTGCGAAATAATTTAATTTTTATTTAATAGAAATTGAAACAGATTGAAGCTTAGACTTTAAAAATTAGCATAATAAGTGAATTAGAGACAATTTAAATAAATATGTGAAATAGGTGACAAAATTTAAAAAAAGTGAAAAGTTGACAGTCTGTGATAGCTGAATTTAAAGAAGATTATAAGGAGAAAAAAATCATTCTTTTTATGTATATTCGATGGTTTTTTTTCAGAAAAAGGACATAAGAAATAGAAAAAGGGAATTTTTTTAAAAAAGGCGACGAACTGCTATCCCTGTAATTAAATTATTTTCATATTTAATTATTTTGTAACTTATTTGAATATTTTTGATATAACATATTTCTCAGATAGTTATTGGGGTAAACTTGTAGTGCAAAGTTTTGATTCAAGGACAAGTAATGGTGTTTTTGTTTCAATATTAAAAAAAAAATTTTATTAAATTTTGTACAATATACTAGGTACACGTTAATTTATTTATTATATTACGTTAAACGAAATTACTTTAAACCAAAATATAAAATATATAATATCTTCAAATTTGCACTAAAAAGAACTTCCATCTATTCAAATTTTCAATTAATTAAATTTGCTTTTGAGTAATTTTTCGTTTAACAGAATTGTCATTTTCTTTTTTTCTATCATTTTTCGATATATGATGCAAATTATGTCATTTAAATCCTGCGAAAATCATAGAAAACTTATGGAGTTTAAAAATAAAAATTTTGAAGAAAATTTGTAAATAAATTTTTCAAAAATTGAAATTTACGGTATTACGATTTAGGCAGCAAAACTGGTTTAAAATTTTTTTTGGCTTAAAAATTTTTATGAATTATTGCATTTAAAAATACATAATTAAAATTGCTTACAATTATTCATTCAGAAAAGGAATTAAATTTTAGAGACATTTCTTTTTGATAAACATTTTAAACAGAAAAATCTTTTGTCCCCAAAAATAAAAGGCCAACAATCATAAAGAAAACCAAAATATAAATTATGATTTTCTTTTGTAATAGAGACATAAATTACATCAAATTATATTAGAAATTCTTGTACAATCGAGTAGTAACAGCTTTTTTAAAACAACTTGTGCATCGTCTTACAATAAAAGATCCTTGTGGTTTTAAATATTTTAACAAAACCTGAAATACATTTTATTATTGTGCTTCATATGTGTTGGGAATAGAACAAACATATTGTGCAATACTTAAGTCAAGAACCACACATTTCGAAAATACTTCAGAGATAGATACAGGCAGATGATCAACGTTTCCTACAATTTCCCAAATGTGATTTAACAGTACATTCCCTACAACGAACGGTCTTACTAACAATTGTTTCACTGTAAAAGAACATGTGCCATCTGGCAATAATAAAACACTAGTTATTTGTACAAAAGACCAATTTTTTAAAACAATTACTGTATCGTTAAATTTTTTTTTACGACTGTATTCAATACTACTGTATATGCGATTTTCGTAAATGCACCTTTCAAACCGTTTATTAATCGTAGATTCGAAAACATTTTTATGATGTGGGCCAAGAAATGTAACATTTTCAGATTTGACAGCACTTTTTGTCAATGTTTTTGATATAAAAATATGTTCACAAAAATTTTTCGCCTCATTTGAAATGTTAACAGTAGGTGGACGAACACGATACTTTAAAAGATTTAAAGATTTATTCACAATCTGCTGATCGGGGCTTTTTGGACCTGCAAGTGTTTTTTTACAAAAATGGATATTATGCTCGAATGGAAAGGCTGATGTTGCCCATAGTGGACCAGATTCTCTGACTGTTTTTACGATATGTTCTGCACAGTGGACGTTAAATGTCATGCATTCTGTACCGTATAAAATTTCATATCGGGCAACAAATGTCATTAAATTCAATTCACATACGTCAAGTTCGTCTTCAGTGATTTCTCTTTTCAGCATAGTATACATACTATTTACAAATAAAGAAAAATGCTCTAATAATTCAGTCGGAATATCCTCTAAGCATACTGGAAGAGAATAATAAAGAAGCCATGCCTTCCAATGACTTCCTTTCCAAATGCTTTTACTTGAAATCTTTTCTGAGCTTCTTTGCAAATCTCGTGGAGGTTGTATCTTGAGGAGTAAATCGTCAATTTTTTTTCTTTGTTTAGGTGATAAAATCAGATACCAATGTTCCCAAACTTGCACGCATACACCAAAAAGAGCATTATGTAAGTAATCCAAAGGGAATCCCCAGACCATGTCGATGGCTTTAATTCTCATAAAGCTTGATTCACCTTTAACTCCATTTACAAACGAACCACGAGCACAGGCATTCTTTACATCTTCGAGATGAAGTTCGTGAGTTCGAATTTTTGGTTGTTCTTCTAGGAATGGATACTTTACTCCCCTCTTTTTTTGAACATATTTCCCTGGATGGTAGCAATAACTGCACGCACAATATCCATTATACTGTAGAATATTTTGTAGGATGGCTCGCGCAACGGAATCCGCAACAACTAAATTTGCAACAAAGAAAAGCGTTACTTCTTGATCTTCATTTGGAAATTTCACACGCATTCCTTCTAAACACAGGCGATTTGCTTGCTTACAAAATTCATCGATGTATGCATTCATTAACGCTGGTTTCGGTTCTGTATAAACAACCATCATACCCACTAGTAAAACGAATTTATACCTAACAGCTGGAGGTAAATTATGCAACATAATTTGCAACGGCCAGAAGTTTCTTTTAGAAACTTGAAATAAGGGAGCACCGTCAGTACTAATAGTGTAAGTAAAGCTTTTGGGATATTCTTCAATTGTCTTTTTATATAATAAGCTATCGTTAATATCGCGTATAATATTAGTCTCCATTACTTCATCATTTTGAACTTGATTTAATGAAAAATATTTTCTTAGATCGTCTTTTTCAAGTAAGATTCGAATTTGATACTCGAGATCTACTGTAAGGAAATGATTATTGTTACTCAACTTCATGAACTGTTCTTCATTACAAATATCACAAATAAGAGACTGACCTTTTACTTTATTTTTTTGAGCACAACCTAAAACTTTCATGCACTTTTCACAGTAAAAGTGAAAGTTTATTTTTTCTGGTGGAGTATCAAAAATTTTAGTGATTTTATAATCTGAAATATTTAAATTTTCAAATTCTGGACCGGCGCAAATTTTAAACATTTCCAAAAGCATTATACGTGCTTCTTTTGAACCACCGAATCTTAGATTGAAGGCTACAATCATCTCCAATACATCATTAACTGTTTGTCCAGATCTGTCGAACATAATTCTTGTATCAACATCTTCAAACATAATTTTTTTATCTGGCAGTGGTGATGAAGTTGATCTGAAGGAGTCTTCGTGTGCTGCATTATTTATATCTTCATTCAAAATGTTCCGGTCTTCATCATCTTCATTCAAAATGTTCCGGTTTTCATCATCTTCATTATCTCCTTCGCTGTCTGAGCAACTGTCGAAATAGTCGAAATAGTCATATATACTTTCATCTGATTCTGGCAGTGGTGTAAGTGATTCTTGCTCATAATGAGAACTTGTCGCCTCTTCATTAAAATGCTTGGCTGAAAAAATACGATAAGAGAAAAATATATTGATATGAATTTGGACAATTTTTAGCACTTAGTTAATATTATATGTGAAAAATTAGTTTAATTAATAATTAATATATTTTTGTAGACCTTATTTTTATAATTCAAAGTAGGCCAACAAATTTTCTACCTAAATTATAATTTAATTAATATTATCGAGTACTTTTTAAAATATATTTATTATCTTAATACATTTATTATCATAATAGTTTCCAATCGTTTTCAAAAGATTTTCATTAATATTTCAATTTGTAAACAATATGAAATGTTGAATAAACTACTATCCATCGGAGCAATACATTCCCAAGTAGCACGGTATATCACTCGAATGTCATGGTGATATCCAGCGGGAATATTCCTGTGATATTCAGGTGATATCAAAATGACCGCCTCACGGTGATATCCAGCTGGAATATTCCTGTGATATTTAAGGAATAATCCCGCGATATTTCCGTGATATTAAGAGAATATTCCCGTTTTTTAATTTTTTTCAAATGTTTTATATTTTCTTTTAATTACGTTTATTAAAATAATTAATATAATTAACGTAATTAAACAAAATAATATAAAAAATTTGAAAAAATTAAAAAAACGGAAATATTTCTTTAATATCACGAGAATATCACAGGAATATTCCCTCAATATCAATCGAATGTCACAGAGATATATCCCCTTATTATCACACGAATGTCACGGGAATATTCTCGATGGATATCACCATGAGGCGGACATTTTGATATCACCTGAATATCAGGTAGAAAATATAATTAAAAACATATCTGCAAAACGTCAAAATTTTTGAAGAACCGACAAAAAAGTTACAAGTGAAATAAAAAATTGAAATTTTTTCAAGAAAAAATTTTTCAAAATCGTTTATTATATAAACCTATAATGAAATTTAATAATAACTCCATAATTTCTATACAGAGAATTTCTTAATTTATGTTTTTAAATAGTAACAATATCTAATATTTTGTAGTTTTTGAAAAATGTTTTTAAAAAAATTGAAAAATTGAAGGTTACGAAATTAAGTCGTGAACCTCCTACTTTTCTTAATGAATATTATTAAAGGAAATAAAATTTCCACCATAATATTGTTGTCAATAAACTCAGAAAATAATGAAATTTCAAATATATAAAAACTAAATTTTTTAAAAATAAAAAAATTTAAAACATAGTTTTTATTTTGTGCTCTAGAATCCAAACGTTTTAGGATATTTAAAAATGGTGCATTCCGTATGAAAGTACAATAAATAAGGTATCCTTTTGCCATAAAGAAAAAATTTTAATTTGAAAACAAACATTTTTTAAAGAATTTTCAAATTGTTGTAAATTTCGATTTAAAAAAAAGTATCCCCAAGATGGACACTTCATAAAATGCATTAAAAAATGGATAAAATAAAAATAAAATATCAAGTAAGGATTTTTAAACCAATTTTCTGTTTCTTTATTATATTTTTTAAAAGTTCTAACATTTTTTAAATGTTAAAAATTAAATAATTTTGTAAGAAAATTAATTTTAACGTGAATAATTTAATTAAATTAATTTATTAAATTTATCCAATCCAATTTATTTAATTTATAATTTATTTAATAAGAGATTAGTTATTTTATAATTAATTAAAAGAAATTAACAATAAATACAGCTCTAAGCTGAATTGCCTGAGTCACAATTCGGACATTCGTACCAGGGTCCGTAGATTTTGGCGCACTTTGAGTGCACATCTCTCTGACAGATTTCAATTCTCTTTTGATAACAACGCAATTTCGAAGTGGAAAAAGAAAAAATTTTAATTATGAGGCTTAGAGCATTATTAAGAAACTTTAACATTGAAAATAAATAAATTTAAAAAATTAAGATGTGATGTCCATCTTAGGACCAATGAACCCATTTTTTTGGGTCACATAAAAATTATTTCCAAACACAGTGTCAACCGAATGATTTTAGAATACTATTATACGATAAATAAATGACGTTATTACGATATACACCTATTCGAAAACAAAAATATAGATAATTTTACCGACTGAAATAAAAACTGTTACAAAACTTTTTAAAACGAAAATTCCACGTGATATATGTGTTCAGGAAGAAAAATAATTCTTTCCGATCCGTGTTTATACAAAAAGTTTCATCTAAAAAAACTAAATCAGTAAAAAAATCACGAGGCGATATATATTTATACGAAAATATTATATCAAATGTCCATCTTGGGGCCCTCTCCCCTAGTGTTTATTTCGCCATGGCGAAATAAGTAAAGTAAATTAATTCGCCAGTTACCTGACTTTTGCTGTATAAAAGAAATGAATTATTTCGCTAGTAAATGGCAATAAACATTAAATTGAAGACCGTCGAAATAAGTGAAATGAAAAACTTCACCGGTGAAAAGAAATAAAAGTTAAAATAAGAGTTAGAAGGAGATTAAATGACTTCATTTTTATAATTTAATTTAAGGAATATATAATACTTTTTTGTTATCGACACAATATAAATGCGAACCTAATTCTGCCTATTTTTCGTTATATGTAGATGATTTTTGTCTTTTAAATTTTACTAAAAATAATATTTCGTTATTAAAAATTAAATTTTTATTATAATGTGAGTTTTAAAGTAAAATTTACAAGCAGTTTAGAAAGTGCTGTTATTGGCAGCGTGTTTTAGTCTGTTTATATTTTTTTTAAGTCGGCTTATTTGTCATTCGTACGACATTGCTTCAGATAAGCTTGTAAAATTTGAAATAAAATGACTTTAAATAGTTTAAAATTTGACTGATTGATTATGCTTAATATACACAACTATTTTATCATTTAAAATTTGCATAAATAATAAATGAAATTTATTTTCAAACAGTGAAAATAAAAAATCATAAAAAAATGTAGTTCAATTCAAATAAAGATATATGCACCTAACCTCCATTTACTGTAAACATATACATATTTTCCTTCTTACTTACGAAATAATTCATTTCTTTCATTTTGACAGTTTGAAAGTACAATCACTTACAAATAGAAAATTATAAAAAATAGTAAGTTTATGAGAAAATATAGTTTAAAATATGTTATTCTTATATACTACTCACCTTTACTGTTTTGTGAACATTCTTCATATTTTTTCTCCCAAGCCTTGTGAGTTTTTTCCGTCACCATTACTGTCCTAAAGTTTGGATCTAGAGGCAGGTTGTAAAAACTTCTTTTTTTTCCATTTTTCAATTTTCTCTAGCTATTAATTGCGAATTAACCTTCTTGTTCAACAGTTTATTTGCGTGTTCATGCGTGTTTGTTCTAGCATATCTAGCACTTCATTTTCAAGTACAGGCGACTGGACAGTGATGTGCTCTCGCAGATTTAAAAATAGGATGAAAGTTTTCGTAAATGGTGGAAATGTTTAATATTATTATTTTTTTACCACTAAATGTTTATTCAAGTTTTAATATTTAAAACATTTTTTAAATAAAATTTTTAAGCTTATGTCAAAGAACTAAAATTAAAAAAATTTCTTTTATTTAATTAAATTTGTTAAATATTAGACTATTTTTTAACATCATTTGTTTAGTAATAATTGACAATTTTTTGTTAATTAATAAAACAAAAATTCAGTCAAGATTTCACTAATAATTATATATTTTTAATAAGTTTAAAATTTAAGAATTCAATTTTGCGAATTGGTTCATTGTACACCATCTTTCTCTGGGAGAAATTTAGGAAGTGTGCGTCCCTGAAATCTTCGGAAATTTTCTGGGGGTCTGCCTGCGCAGAGAGCGGAAAACGTACAAAAGTAAGAGAGATAGAAAATTCAAATTTGCAGGCAGCCATGAGGTGTACCTTTTGAACCTTTAAGTTGGTTCTACAGTAGGCGCGTCGGACGTGAACGTGTACCTAATAAGAGAAAGGGGTATAGATGTATATCTCCGTACCCCTCTCTCTCATTCGGTACACGTTCACGTCCACGTCCAACGCGCCTATTGTAGAACCAACTTTAGAACTCAAGAACGTGGTTTTGTGTGTGTTGACGCGTTTCGGCGTTTGTATACCGGCTACCGGCTCGATTCAATTCATGTTGTGATCAGTAGTTTATTTCAGTGCTTGTTAATATTATAATATAAATAATCGGATTTTAAGCATGAGTAACAAACAACAGTATGTGGTGATGATTGAATGCGGATCACAAAAACTGTACACAGTTCCACTTGATGCTGTACATCACTTTGATAAAAAAAAGCATGATCAATTTAAATCATATAAATTTGACCTATTGGATTCGGTTCTCTATGGGACGGTGAGCTTTATCGGAAGTAAGTACAAATTAAATTATTTTAATGTATTATTTTTTTACGTATGAAAGTGTGTTATATAAGCTAAATTAACAAAAATCTCATGATACTTATAACCACGTGCTTGCCGGCTTCCTTTTCTTTGTATAACGCCATATTGTGTTATGTATATTGAGGTATTCTTTTGATTATTTTTATTCAAAAATTTGATTTTTCTGGAATAATTTTTTCTGGATTCTCTATTGAGAAATAATATATACGTATTTTTTGTATTTCGTGATTTGATGATAATTAAGGAAGTTATAAATTATTGAAATTTGTGGTTTTCGAAAACAGGCTATTTTTCGAACGCATTTTTCTTCGTTTATATCAGAGGAGATTGAAAATAATATGTTGCATGAAATTTGTTGGAAATTTGTTGAATTCTTTATATATGCAGTAAATAATAATGTATCTGTGATAAAAGTATCTTAAAATTTTTAATTAAATTTAAAAAGCATTTCTTCTCCAAGATGAACACTTGATGTTCAATTTTTTTATTTCGACATAATCTTTGATTAATAATGAATTTTTTCCCGTTAATGCGAATGTGGTGTTAATTGTTGTTTAATTAATATTTACAATTTTTTAGCTCAGTGTACTGAATTTGAGTTGTATTTTATAAGTATTTTCGTTTTCAAACAATTACTGTAAATCTAAAAATTTTACACAAATTTAAAACATATTCAAATGAAATGGAACATCTCCAACTTAAAGAAACTAAACATTTTTTTAAATTAAAAAAACAGAAAAATTAAAGATTAGAAGAATGGGAATTTCTTTGAAAAAACGAAAAATTTTTAAGGTATTTCCATTTATAAATTAAAATTTATTTTCCTTTCCACAAAAACTAAAAAACTTCTAAATTAAAATAAACTTCAATGTTAAAATCAATGAATTATTTTTTAATTTTATGAAAACTGAAAATTCAACGAAAAATCCAATAATGAAAATTTGTTGATAAGAACGAAATATTTTTTTAAGTTTAAAAACAATGATCGGAAAAGGTAAAAATTTTGACGTTATTTATGGCCTTTTTTCAATTTTTTTAACTTTTCAGCTTTTTTGAGGAAAAGAATAAAAAAAATTCAGTTCCTTCGGAACTTTAAAAAAGTTTTTTTAGTTGATTTAGGAATCAATATTTTAAAAAATCTGAATTTAAACATTTGTATTTTTAAAAGCCAAATCTCAATTGAAGCAAAATTAATCAACAAATTAATTAATCTCATTTTGAAAATGGCTAATAGTTGCAACAAATATTGTTAAAGATTATTTTCTTTTAGGTTCACTAGAGGAAGTACAAGAGATTTTAAATAAAAATAAAAGACTAAGTAAGCCAAATGAAAAATTCATCATTCCTGCAGTTGAAACGACTGACACAGAGAATGAAGTTCAAAAAGATTCAAAAAATGATGAACAAAAAAAAATAAGGTACTTATTTATCTACTTTCCATGTCACAAATACTGTTTAGCAAATAATTTTGAAAAAATTTAAACTGTAAGCGTTACTATTTTAATCAATTTAAAACAGATGGATTTCAAACATTTTAATGTTTTTATATATAGATTTATTAATATTTTATACTTTGTAAAAAGACATATAAATTGCTCATGATATTATTTATTATTCTGAAACTTTTTTTGTGCTACGTCAGCATATTTTAAACAATTTTTTTTAAATTACTTTTCCTTTCTAATAATAAATTATTCTTATTTCCTAATCTCATTTCTAGATTGAGAGTAGCCTAAAAAAAAGATTTTTGAAATTGAAAGGCATAAAAACAGAAAAAATTACAAATAATAAAGAACAACCGGAAAAAAATATTGTTCTTCAAACTCAGAAACGAACTTCAAATACTTCATTACCCGAAAAACCTCTAAAGATTCATAGAAAAGAACCTACAGAAAGTTTGGTTTGTAATAACATCACTATATTCCTATAAGAAAACCTTCCCATGATTGATATTTTATAAGATACTCAAATACTTTTATTGTCCCAGATTTCAGAACTCGTGCATAATGGAAGCCAGGAGCAATCTTCTTCAATGAATAATAATGATAATAATAATAATAATTTGTTTCCATGTGAAAACAATATGATGCAGAATAACTTAATACAAAAATCTGTAAGAACTTTTAAACATGTAAATTATTATTTAAATTACATTAGCAATAATTGTCAGTTTTTATTATTTCCGTTTGTTAATTATTATACATTAATGGATCCTTAAATAATAAGCTATTCTATCTTTTTTACAGGGTATAGAAACTACGAAGGAAAGTAACAAAGAGAATTCTCTTTCCTCTAGTATTATGACTACAATAAGAAAGCCCGTAATTCGCCAAATTGACATCGTAACAACAGCTGTTAGTATATTTAAAGGATTCTTTCTTCATTTTATCAGATTCGTTATCAATTTTTAATATTTATCTTTGATAGACAGTTTAATGATAATAATCTCAATAATAGAAATTGCAAAAAATGGAACAAATTTAAGTTTTGTCGGTTAATAACTTTTCTATTTATTATATATACTTATAATGTAGAAAGTTCACAATAAATTGTAATTATTACAAAAAAGAAGGTAGAATAATCTATTGTAAAAATAAAATCTCAAAATTAAAGTTAACAAATAGATTTACACTGAGTTCGACAATTATTTATACTAAAAATAACATTGTTAACATTTTTTAGAATAATAGACACAGGGAAACTGTAATTCAATTAGAAAAAAAAGTTGAAGTATTAATAAAAGCAGTAAACAAATACAAACAAGAAATTAAATTATTAAAAGAGGAAAGAAGTCACAATTCTGATGGGTTACAGTTAATTCATAGTACTCTTAGCGATCAGGAAAAATTAATCGATGAGCAAAAGGCAGAAATAAATAAGCTCAGAATACAAAACGACAATTTACAACAATTTGCACTGGAGAAGTCAAATTTAATGGAAGGTTTGAAACATTTTTCTTTAATAAATATTTTATTGAAAAAATGGGAACAACAAATTTTGTTCTATTATAATATAATGAAAAAAGTGAAATCTACTTAACACCCTTATAATTAATTATTAAAATTTCTTTCAGCTAAATTCTCCGAATTAAAATCTTTTTGTGAAGAGGTAGGCTTAAACGAACCTTATGGACCCGTCGGTCACATAGCTGCAAATCTCGTAAGTATTTCAAAAACTCAAAATAAACTAGTTTCTAATACATTAATTTATATCTATTTTATCAAAAACTGTAATTTGAGATATTAATTATTTATCTAAATAAAATCAGGCTTTTGTCTGCACAATACGGATCTGTCTCAATTTACAAAATGTTTATCGCGCATCACACGCCAAACATTTCTCAAGCAAGTGAAGTAAAATTTGTCTGTGTTACTTTAAATTATAATCACAATTCTAACTAAAAAAAGATAATTTAGCAACAATCTATGAAAAAATGTATAATTTCAGAATTTTTAACTTAAAGTTTATATCTAAAACCGTTTTTAGGTGATGCACTGTCCAAATTTGCATACAAACTCTCATAAATACAATTTTTTTTGGTGCGGTATATATATGAATCTTCTGCTGTTTAAGAAATATGTATAAGAAACTTTTAATTGTAAGCAGTGTATAGACAAAGCTCTGATTTCATTTAAATATAAGATAATTTTTCCTTTTTTCACAGATACATCTTGGCCGTGGTGTTTGGCTACCAGTCGATGTATATAATTTAGCCATATATGGAATCACAAAAAAAACGAAAAAACAGTTCGTTCGGAATATATTGGTGGCAGTATTTGGTTACGACATACTCACAGAAAGTACTATTTCAGGAAAGGCGAGTAATAGAGCAGAACATCCAATGACTGAAATAAAAGCTTTAGATCCAAAAAAAGTACTGGCAATTAAAGGTACTGGCATTTCAAATAATAGAGGCAAATTATTTTAATATTAAAAAAGTATATTTACAGTAAATATGATGACCCATAAAAGCCGAATTTAATAAGCAATTTTCTTCAGAATAAGTTGGTCTTTTAAAAAAACAGAAAGTTTTAATCTCTATGTAGATATTAATTTGAGACTACTGTTAAACATAAATATTTCATTGTTTTCTATTTATATAAATCAAATTGTAAAATAGAATTTTTATTTCAGCAAAGTTATATTTAACATAATTTTCAATTCGATTTAAAAAAATATGCCTTATTTAATTCTCTTTTTACAGATATTTATAAATATTTCTTAAAAAAAGAATTAAAGATACCTGACGAAGCTGCTGAAATGGAGGCAGACAGCACTAATACATCCATTGGAAAAAAAATTGCTCAAATTAAACGAATTTATCATAGTAAGTTATTGAAATAAATGTGAGTAAATTAATTCTATCCTTTGTGCGAGATCCTACATGTAGGATCCCACAAAAGTCCTATTACAAAATTGTTATGCTTTTTTGTTATAACAGTTACTTTTATTATTAATATTCCTATTACAGATTATTTATTACTATTTATTATTGTGAACACAAAAATTGATTATTAGACTTATACTGTCACTAAAAGTAATATAGTTATTGAATTTAGATGTTATAAATTTTTTTATTATAATTTTACGAATGCATCTGAAAATTAATTCTGTATAATGTTCATGCACCTTGGTTCAAGTTTCATTTGTTTTGTTGCTGTGGGCAACATTTTTATTTCTTATACTAGTACTTTAAGTACGAAAGGACGTTTTCTTTTGTAAGTCCGTTTATGAACTAAATAAATAAATAATTAATAATAGGACATTACATGGATCCTACAAAGAATCCTATTTACCTCTTATATGTGGAATTCTTATCATTTATAGGATTCTACGCAGTACAAAAGAGACCCATTAATATTCTCCAAAAATCCATTTTACCGAAAATACAAATCTAACAAATACAACAAAATACTACTCATTTTGCATAATTTCATTCTGACCGAAAGTTTATGTGTCATAACAGTCATTTATTATAATTTTATTCTTCCGGAAAAATAATTTGTCCGCAACTTTATTTGCTATACTATAGTTATTTGTCATAAAACTCCTCGTAAAACTCATTTGTTATAACTATATTCTGCGCGATTAGGACATTTATATTTTCGGGTTAATTAATTTAATTGTTTTTAATGATTTGTATGACAAATTATTGATATGGCAAAAAAATTCGGACAGAATAGAATTATCACAAATGACTAGTATGTCAAATAGATTTTCGGTCATTTGATGTTTAGGGAATTTTCATGTGCCTCAAAAAAAATATAAGAAATCTTTCATCAGGTAATTTCATTTGATTTATTTTCAGAACCTGATAAAACAGTTTCTAAGAAAATTTTGGGTTCGGAGGGTAATGCAGACGAAGTTGAGTTACCCGAAAAAGAAGGAGACGAGCATCAAGATAAAATTATAGAAGATAGAGAGCAGCATCGAAATGAAAAAAGTACCGAAGAAGTAGAGGAATATGAAAATGAAAGATGCATAGAAACAGCTGATGACTATGGAAAAGAAACTATTGATGACGAAATTGATATCGAAAAAGAATTGGCAGAAATTGGCGTAGGAAAAAATGAATCAGAAATTAATTTCTCTCAATATTAAGTCAGAATCAGTAAGTAAAATATAAATTTTATTTAATCCAATTTCTACTTGTTACAATTTTTATTTATCAGAATTATCAGAAAACAAAATTTTTATCGTAATAAATTTTTGTTTACCATAATTTTTATTGATTAAAATTGTTATGCAGCAAAAAATAATAATTAAAAATTGGTACGAAATTAAGTTTATAATAATTATACTGTAATTGAGGAAATAATCTCATAGTACCGGCCATAATGGTTTAAAAATTTTGTTTTCATTCTCTTCACACGCAGTTTTAGTCATTTTCTGAAAATTTTCCGAAGTTCGTAATGCGATTTTGAAAATATTCTCAATATTTTCTTCTGTACAGCTCACGAAATGCCTGTTTAATATTAAAATTTTCATTTATTAGAAAATATTACACTAAAAGTTCATGTGAATATTTGACGATATTTTTTAGGTAATATTAATCAAATATTCCAGTAATTCCTCAATATCAATCAATATTGACTGAAACTTTGCTGTACGATATTCACTTAAACTTTTATTTTAATATTGCACATTAACTTTATCAAACGTTTAGGAAATTTCTTGTGTTGAAGGAGTTACTACAATTTGAAATCTTAATTTCAAGCATAATAAATATTTCTATTTCCAGGATTTGAGATGTTTGAAATGTTTCAAAACAATAATATTGCTTACCTCGGCGTGGGAAGATCCAGAGGAATCTTCCAGGTTATCGTAACGTATTGTGAGTAATTTATTTATTTTTGATATTATATTTTCACAGGGTGTCTAGCGGTCTTTAAAATCTCAAGAAACTTAAATTTATGGTCACATGTAATTTTGTCACCTATTTCACCAATTTTTATAACTTTTTACCTTTTTTAAAAAATAATTTAATTAATCATATATCTTTAATTTATTCAAAATGTTAATCAAATAAAAATTTAGTGAAGCCAAATTCCAATATATCTTAACTTAATATAAAACTTGCAGTTATTAGAAAATAGTAAAAATACGTTTTCTTTAAATTTATTAATTATTTTTATGCTAAAAATATTTTTCTTAAAATTATTCTACCTTGACTTCAATTTTGTAAGGAATAAATTATACTTTATTTGTTATCAAAAATTTTAATTTTATAAAATATTATAAGCCTAGGAAAAATAAAATATTATTTCTAAAGTAATTTGAATTTTTATGAAACATTAAAATACCCACTATTATAAATAGCAATATACTATTATAAATACCCATTATTGCTTTAATGAAGTCTCGTTTCCTTATAATTTTATTATCTTTTATAAATAGACAAAGAAAATTTTATTTTTTATACTTTTTACGTTTGAAACAATTTTTTAAGAAAAAATATTTTCAAAATTACTATCCCAAAAATAAACCTTGAAATAAATTATTTTGGTTCTTGAAAATCTCGAAAAGTCTTTCCATTTCTTTTCAAGAGTCGCTAGACAACCTGATTTCAAATGTATGTAGATGAATCACAGTTTAACTATATGCCTTTTTTCAGAATCATGTCTCAAAAAATATGGGTTGTATAATTTTATAAACTTATAATTAGTACACTTAAAAATTGTATTTGTTTAAATCGAACATTTATTTCTTGCATTAAAAGTTAATAAGAAAATGGTCCTTTAATTCAAAAATTTTTTTAAAATAAGAATAAGAATAAAAAATTATTAAATAAATAATTTTAATTTTCATAAACTTTTGTTTTAACTTTAACGTATTGTAATGAAAAAAATGTTTGATTTAAACATACGTTTTTATAAGTGTACATTTTAAATAATAAATTAATTTTATTAAAATACATTTTAAAATCTTATCGATTGAATTCAGAGGAATAGAGGATATTATCAACTTGTCTTGCTTCTTTATACTTCTTAATGCGCGTTTAAAAATACTGACATGTCAATTCAGAGGAATAGAAATGGCTATGAATTTTTCATTTTTCTGATTCATTGGAATACACATTTTAGACTAGCGTCATGTCAATTCAGAGGAATAGCAAATTTTTTTACTTCTTCCATTCCTTTCTATGCGCATTTTAGATAGCTAGTAGGTCAATTCAGAGGAATAGAAACTGCTATTACATTGTTTTCCTCTTCTCATTCTTTTGAATCCGCTTTACAGAATATTGTCAGGCAAATTCAGAGGAATAGAAACTACTATATATTTCTTTGAATATTCCATTCCCTTTAATTCGTATTTGAAATTTTGACCAAGTCAATTAAGAAGAATAGACTTTTCTACTTTTTCTCGCTTCATCGGGGAATTGAGTAAAAACGTAAAATCACCCATTCAAAAGAATTCAGATTCTGAATTCTTTTCAGTTCTTCGCTTCTTACCGGGCTCCTGAAGCTAACTTCACGATGGAAATGTGCACTAGCGCCTCTTGTGTTCATTTTTGCGATTATCAAAACACATAGGTGGGAAACTGGCATGATAAAACGAGATTTTCGCTAAATTGAAATTCGTATAAGTGACAATTTAATTGAAGAGAAATTCTGTCTTATTAAAATCATGACGTATAAAAATTATTTCAAATGGAAATCCAGTTAAGTAAAATTTATATAAAATGATAATATAAAAAAAATCCTGACACAATATATTTTTAATACATGTACATTTTGATAAATAAAATATCGTCTAAAAAAAATTATGAAATTTAAAAATCCATCTATATAAAAATTATGTTCAACAGAAAATCGATTTAACAGCAGTTGAGATTAATACCAGTTTTAATGGATAAAAATTTTGATTAATGGAAATTTGTATAAATATAAATTGTGGGACATAAAAAATTGGATAATTAAAAAAATTTCACTATAAAAATTCTGTCATACAAAATTTTGAAAAATTAAAAATTTGGTTACGTGTTTTTGAACCTATTAATGGAATTGACTAAATAGAAAATATATAACATTTAAAACCGACTAAGAAAATATCTGATTATAGAAATTTTGTTTGAAAAAAATTCTATGCCACAAATATTTGCATAACTTTCAACTATACCATATTTAAATTTGAAAAAATAATAATTTGTACAAATTAACGTTTAGTTAAATATAAATTACTTCATACAAGAGTTAGTTGGAGTGAAAATTATGGGTTAAAACGATTCGATTAAATGAAAAATTTTACCTATAAAATGTCTATTGCATAAAATTTCGGTTTAAACTGTAATTCAGTTGAACAAAATTTTACCCAAACGCAATTTCTCTTTAAAAGATTTTAGTCACATAAAAGTAACTGTTATATTAAATTCCCATCAATCAAAACTTCTTTCATTTAAAAATTAATTTACATTATTATTCGTTTTGTCATAATTCGTTTAAACAACATTTTGTTCATGTACCATTACTGATAAAAACTAATACAAAAAAACAAATAATCTGTTGAAAAGCAGTTCTACTATATAAAATTCTGTATTCTAAACATTACATGCAATGATTTCTATGGGATCTTCATGCGCGCCCACGGGCAATACTATCTCTTTTGACACTGTTAACAACTCACCATTTGCTAACTGAACCGTACCGACCTTTTCTGTGATTGGAAGGTTTAATTTTTTTAACATTTCTAAACATAGAGGGCCTATAAAAGTTCTTGACGCTCCACAATCTACTATAGCTTTTATGGCGTGATCATTCACAAGAACAGTGAAGGTACACTCACAGCTCTGGTGACTGCTTGCCTGCGCAAGCAAGCAGGCAGCCAGCGTTCACAGCTCGATTTTTCCAGCTGCTTGCAGAGCCGAAAATTGGCGGAACATTTGAATATGATTAAAATGAAATATACTGTTTTAATACATATTAATAATAAAAGGGTGTAAAAAAACTAAAATTACTGCAATATTAATGTTTTTTCTGTAGTTAAGTGATTTATGTATGACTACTGTGGAAAAAAGTGATGTGTGTATTTAAGTTATTCTAACCTCAAAAATTCTCACTCCTGGTCTGTCATCGTTGCATGCTGTCAGAATTTGGTATATTTATTTTAAATATTATAGTGAAATAACTTATTATAATGATAAATTAATATTTATAAAATTGATTTGTACAAGATTATAGTTTAATGAAGTATAGTAATTTAAGTAATAACTATTTACACATCAATTATTACTTAAATTAAATTGATATATTAATATATCAATTATTTATAAGAGATACCTTAATTTACATTCAATTTTTCACAAAAATTAACTCTATATATTACTTGGTCATTTTCAATAGTTAATATATTTGATAATATTTCACTGATTAACTTAAAAAATTTTCTTTCCTCGAATTTAACTGAACCTAATCTAATCTAATTACTATTAATAAAGTTATTGAATGTTTATAAGAAATAGTGGTAAGTAACTCATTTGTATAAAAAATATATTTTGATTGTGTATTTCAATTGTTACAGTTATGGATAACGAAATGAACTATTATTCATCATCAGAATCTGATGATAATCTCACGAAGATTCTCCTTGGTCTTTTTGTACTTCGTAGAAAAAGGCGAATAAAGAAGAGAAGATTTCGTGTAAATAAACTGTGGTTGAGTAGAGAACAAAAAGGTACAGACAATTGAAAGATATTTTTAAATGTTGTCATCAAACCTAAAATTTGTGTAATTGCAAATATTTTTTTAGGTGCTCATAATTTTGGTTTGGAGACGGCCCTGTTCGATGATGTTATGTTCCGCAAATATACAAGGATGACCGTAACGCAATATGAAGAAATACTTCAGCAAGTTGGTCCTAAATTATTGAGCAAGTCAACTCGAGAAGACATTATTTGCCCGTCGCTGAAATTAATGCTGACATTAAGGTAAGATAAACAACAAATTTGGGATAAAGTTTAAAAAATTTTACATTGTTTTAATTCTGTTATGGATTTTAAATTTCATCCGTTCAATTTTTTGATTCTACCGAACAAACCAATTTCTTTTTTCACTTATGTGCACAATTTTTATATGAAATAAATTTCGAATTTTTTTTATTTATCAGACACATTCAAGATGTTTTCGGACAATTTTTGATTTTTCTTTTTTCTCTGATTGATTTCGGATGCACTTGACTATTTTCCGTTCCTCCTTAGAAGCTATTTCCATTTAATGAGTTTTGAGATTTTATTTATGTCTGCGTTAATAGATTGAAAGTTTATAATTTTCAATAAGAGTTTTTGGAACGATTGTAATTTCGGATCGATTAAAATTTGAAACTATTTTAACTTTGAAAGGATTGAGCTTGCAGTTCAAACTTGCAGCAAGTTATCTGCAAGTAAAAAAATGTCCGCTTGCGGCAAGCTATGCAAAAACTTTGTCCCAAGCTTGTTACTAGTTTGCATAATATAAAAAAAATTCTAGGAAGAATATTTATTTATTAAAAAATTTACTGCATCATAGCAGCGCATGGCAGCTTTTACAAAGCTTTCAACAATAGCTTTTTCACAAGCTTGTGACAAAATTGACGCGCAAGCTGGCCAGAAGCGAATCCAATCCAATCCTTTTTATTAGATATTTGTTATGTAGCTGTTTGATTATTTTCAGATTTTTAGCTGCAGGAGAGAGTATCTCATCTCTTCACATTCAATTCCGAATGGGAAATTCTACAGTCGTGAAATATATTTATAAAACTATGGAAGTTTTATGGACAACGTTACAACCCATTGTAATGCGTATGCCTGAAACTCCTGAAGAATGGCTTCAGATTTCAGACGTTTTTGAAAGGCAGTGGCAATTCCCTCATACCTGGGGAGCGATGGATGGCAAACACATTCTTATGCAGGTAATTATTTTTTATCACAAAACGATTCCAGATTATGCTCTTTCATAGCTAGAGATGTGCGAATAGTTTAAATTCGAATTGCAAAAGTTCGAAATCGAACTATTCCAAGATTTCGAATCAATGTTAGTTCGAATTCGAATCGACCATTTAAATAATTTCTTTCTCTCAATAAACATAAAATATAGTGATTTGTTCTGATAGCCTACCCTAGAGTTCTTGAGTTTTAAACTTTCTTACTTTTATGTTTTATATTTTCATATAGGTACTTATTACATAATTTAAATTAATTGATTCGAAATATGTATATTCCAATTCGAATCGTATTTTGATTTGATTTTTAAAAAAATCTTCAAAAGTCAAGGAATTTTTCTTTAAAAGAACCACAAAATAAATATTAAAATTTTAGTATTTTCAATAAATTTGGGAAACCTCAAAAATCTGATTTGCTTGGTGAAGAAATTCAAATATGAAATTGTGAATTGAATGAAAATTATAAGCAATATAAAATTTTTAACCTGTAAAGAAAGATTTTAATAAAATAAAAAAATTTGTTAGTCAGGGGAAAATTAGGGAATTTTGAAAATGAAAAAATTGTTATCATCTATACGTCCTTAAAATGCGTATTATTTTTTTCAATTCTTTGTTTGATTTAATTGCAATTTAAAAAATATATTTCTTCCAATAGGCTCAACCTCACAGCGGTTCCATCAACTTTAATTACAAACATCATCATAGCTTAAATTTATTGGCTGTTTGTGATGCTGATTACAAATTCATCGCCATAGACGTCGGAGGAAGAGGCAGAGAGAGTGATGGCGGAGTTTTAAGAAAAAGTAATTTAGGGGAAATGATTTTTGAAGGAAGCCTCAATCTGCCACCTCCATCGGAGATATTTCCTGGAGGTCCGGTTGTACCATATTACTGTGTGGCAGACGAAGCATTCCCTTTGCATCCAAATATAATGCGCCCCTTTCCTGGACGCTCAACTGGTCGGCTCCCTTTTTCTCAAAAAGTTTTCAATTACAGATTGAGCAGAGCCAGACGAACGATTGAAAATGCATTTGGCATTCTGTCCTCACAGTGGAGAATCTTTCGTGTACCCATCGATGCCACCGAAGAACATATAAAGTTAATTGTTATAGCGAGTGCTTCACAATTATCTTCTATCAAATGAAGAGAACTGTCCTGAGGATCAAAGACATTATTGTCCAATTAACTTTGCGGACCGAATAGAAAACGGAATTGAAATTGAAGGAGAGTGGAGGCGTGATTTACAAATGGATGCATTTGCTCCTCCTGATGCAGTTAATATTTGTAATTTAAGTGCTATTACAATCTGCGAACATTTAATGCACTACCTCTTAGAAGAAGGGCAAGTGCACTGGCAGACTGACCGAGTAAATGAAGGGGTCTTCTAGTCTAACTTCGATAACATTTTGTGGTTTTGTTATTAAAATTGCTATATATTTGATTTTAATGTAATTTATTCTTTGATATAATTTTAATGTATTTCTTCGAATATTCTACGAATTATAACTTAAAAAATAAAAGATTCTTAAACTTAATTAACGTTGTAGTAAATTACTTTAAAACATTTCATTATATATAAAACCTTTAAAAATTTCATCGCAATCAAAAGTTAATCGCTTTAAATTTAAAACTATTAAAAAAAACCATTGGATACAAAACTGGAACGATTGAACATCAAATCTAATTATAAATAAATTAAGCAACATTTCAAGTTGGAAAAATATTTTATTTCCTTAAACGCAATATAGTACACACAAAGAACGAAAGAAAGATTTAATACAGTTTTGAATGACTAGTTAGAACTACAATTTGTACTTTGGTTTTTTAAGATATACATTAAAAATCTTTTAATCTACAAAATTCATGTTAAATTGTAATACTAACTTAATAATACTGTACCGAGTGTCGTAGGCGAGAGTGGACATATTACAGTTTGATACAATCAAATATAATGGGTGTTATACACCCAGTATAACATGATATACATTATTTTTTATCAATATAAAACATACGAAATAATTTAAGATTTTTGTAGTTTTCTATTTTTTTCTAGTTAACTACACTAGCAGTCTTATCGTGACAGTCTTTTTTTCAATTAATTTAAAGTAACATAAAATTAGGACAAGTCTCTTAGTCTCTTTTTACACAAAAGCCTTATTTTTATAAGTATCTGACGTTTTTGGCAGAAATAACCACGGTGGAAAAAAACACAAACATTCAAAGTAGAATATTAAAAAATATTAAATATGTGACCCTAGTAAGTTAAAAGGTACCTTAGGGTCAAAGAAATCATTTTTCTCTTTTTCGGTTATTTTTTTGTAGCAGATGTTCTCTTTTCAACGCACCGAAAAAGGTAAATTTGATTTTTTTGACCCTAAGGTCCCTTTTCATTTACCAGGTTACATATGAAATGTAACTAGAATTTTTAGAACATAGTAAAAGAAAAATAGAACTTTATAAATGCCGAATGATCCATTGAAAACACGAAAATTGTGCAATGAGTTATAAATCACTATCATAGCGTTTCTGCGCAATGTAGTTTGTAATGTGGGTTTGTATTTCAAGCTTGTCTTTTTTATCGCTGAAGTCGTTTATCTCCTTTGCAAGCCACATGCACCATTGTTCAATAGAACTAAGCTCCTTCTTGGGAACCTTAGGGCTGGTATTTTCAGCCAGTTTTAAAATCGCTGCTTCCAAATTATCTTTCCCTGTTTTTTGCTTCTTGGCTAAAAAGAATATAACACAAATAGAGCATTAAATCTTCAGATTAGTGACATTTAAAAAAATAAAAGATCATTTTACTTTTCTTAGAAACAGCCTTGGCGGATTTGGTTTACTGAAATCCGATTGAATTCAGTCTGTTTACATCCTAGTGATTTTTTCCAGATAAATCGATATAAAATCATGAAAAAACGATCAATTATGATAAACTGTTTTTCGGAGAGTTAATTTGGGTAGTAATTGACCTTAATGACAGTAAAAATAATGAGAAAATTTGTTTAAGTTCACATTAATTAAGGTAGTTCACGCGCGCGTTTGCAGACCTCTTGGAAAAAACATTTAATTGACCTTTAAAAATTCGTAATCTTCTTATAAACGGTATCTTCTTGGAGAAGACATTATTTTTCACGAAAAAAATTTGAAACTCACAAAAATGATTTATTTAGACAGTTTTGTATGTGGCCAAACGTTTTACTCATCGTTTTTTACCAAATTTTTAAAAATGAACTAATTATAATTAGTAAAGGCTTATTTTCTTCACAAAAAGATCCCCTACAACTTTGACGCGTTCATTTTTCAAAAAATTTAACCATTTTGGAATTATGGCCATTTGTTTGAAAAAAAAAATTTAAACAAATGGCCATAATTTCAAAATGGTTAGTAGGGGATCTTTTTCTGAAGAAAATAAGCTATTACTAATTATAATTAGTTCATTTTTAAAAATTTGGTAAGAAACGATATGAGTAAAATGTTTTGCCACATACAAAACTGTCTAAATAAATCATTTTTGTGAGTTTCAAATTTTTTTAGTGAAAAATAATATGTCTTCTCCAAGAAGTTACCGGTTATAAGATTACAAATTTTGAAAGGTGAATTAAATTCTTTTTCTAGAGGGCTGCAAACGCGCGCGTGAACTACCTTAAGATCAATTATCACCCAAATTAACTCTCCGGGTGTTAATGATTGTCTGTTAATCATTTTATAGTGAATTATCTTTAAGAAAATCACTTGTACCGAAGCCGACTGAATGCAGTTGAATTTTAGTCCACTGAATCCGAACAAATTATTAACCCCTAAATACAATCAGTATTAATATTTAATATCAGGGGCATTTCATTTCAAAACGACCCCCCTTGTAAACAATTGGCAATATAAGGGAGTTTTCCAAATAAATGTTTATCCCATTTAACAGAATCAAATTACTTTTATTATTAGCAATTTTGAAAGTATGATTTCTAAACTCTATGATGACAAAAATAATTTTTGGGAAAATCAGTTCCTTTTAATACAAATTTCAGTTTGAAAGATCAACTTCTAAATATCTCAAAACACGTTGTCTCAGATTTTGATAAAATTTGTGTCAAAAGAAAGCTTAAATATTCTAGTTTTAATTTCTGCCCTACTGAAAATCCCTGTACAAGATCTTGTACAATTTCCTGTACAGGATCAGCAACTGAACTTGTACAAGTTCTGACCAGTTCCTGTACAGGAAAATGCATACGAATTAGGAACAAGTTCATGTGTGAGATGTTGTACAAGATCTGGTGCAAGATCTTGTACAAGAAAGATACTTGTACAAGAAAATGTACATGTTCTTGCACATGTTAATTCGCGTTTTTCTTTACTAAAAATTAAAAACTTCAAAGTCTGCGCAATAGTTTACATTAACCTTTACAGCTGCGCAATAGTTTTTAGCATGCATGAGTTACGAATCTTAGTGGTTAAAAATTATCAAAATCTCAAATTTTATTAAAAAAAAAAAATTTACAACTATACATGTGCAAGAACATGAACGTGTTCATGTACAAGTACTTATACATGAAATTGTACAAGATCATGTACATGAGAGATTCTTTTTCAATCGCCCCAGCCCAAAAAGTCAATGTTCTGGGATTGGCTTCATACTTTGGTAAATTGTTGTCCTATATGATAGTAATAAATCCCTAAAATATAAACTAATTAAAAAAATATTTGTAGAAAGTAGAGGGGGTTGAAGTTTTGACGTTATAGGTAACATTGTCATTTTCAAATCCGTTTAACTATGACAAAAGTTAATGGATTTTAATTTATCTATAATGAATTTTATTGCATTTTTCACGAACTTTTCAAAAATGTATACGAAATTTAAAAAAAAAAAATTTTAACCCCTTTTTTTCAAAATCAACCCTTATTTTTCGATTTTCACCCCTTCGGGAATTTTTTTTTAATTATTTTCATTGGAAAGCTGAGGTTTTTTCCCATGAGCTATGTAAATATGAAAATGTGACAACAATAATTTTGTGAGTAACAGAATATTAAAGTAGGCGGTGCCGATAAGGGGTGTACCTAGAGATCATCTTTGAGGATTTAGATAGGCACCGCCTAATTTAATATTATGTTTCTCACAAAATTATTGTTGTCACATTTTCATATTTACATAGCTCATGGGAAAAAACCTCAGCTTTCCAATGAAAATAATTAAAAAAAAATTCCCGAAGGGGTGAAAATCGAAAAATAAGGGTTGATTTTGAAAAAAAGGGGTTAAAATTTTTTTTTTTTAAATTTCGTATACATTTTTGAAAAGTACGTGAAAAATGCAATAAAATTCATTATAGATAAATTAAAATCCATTAACTTTTGTCATAGTTAAACGGATTTGAAAATGACAATGTTACCCTTAACGTCAAAACTTCAACCCCCTCTACTTTCTACAAATATTTTTTTAATTAGTTTATATTTTAGGGATTTATTACTATCATATAGGACAACAATTTACCAAAGTATGAAGCCAATCCCAGAACATTGACTTTTTGGGCTGGGGCGATTGAAAAAGAATCTCTCACATTTTCTTGTACAAATATCTTTCTTGTACAAGATCTTGCACCAGATCTTGTACAAGATCTCACACATGAACTTGTTCCAAATTCGTATGCATTTTCCTGTACAGGAACTGGTCAGAACTTGTACAAGTTCAGTTGCTGATCCTGTACAGGAAATTGTACAAGATCTTATACAGGGATTTTCAGTAGGGTGTAAAGAGTATCATGGACAGTTCAGAGAATTTTGAGGAATTAATTATAATTCACAGTAATTTCAGAGGTTAAAATATACATAAATTGAAAACTAAAAGCGAATAGATCGGCATTTGTTTTTTAACCTCTTCAATTACTGTGAGTTTTAATTAATTCTTCAAAATTCTCTGAATTACAGAAAATAAAACTGGAATATTTAAGCTTTCTTTTTACATAAATTTTATCAAAATCTGAGATAACGTGTTTTGATATATTTAGAAGTTTGACTTTCAAATTCAATTTTGTATTAAAATGAAATCATTTTTTCAAAAACTATTTTTGCCATCATAAAGTTTAGAAAATTTACTATCCAAATCGCTAATAATAAAACTAATTTGATTTTGTTGAAAAGGAGAAAAATTTATTTTAAAATTCCCTCACATTTTCAATTGTTTACAAAGGGGGTCGTTTTGAAATGGAATGCCCCATCAATATCATAAAATAATGGAAATTTTAAGGGAAAAAAATAAAAAATAGAGATATAATTATAAATACATACCTCCACGTTTTTTTACAGGAAAACCAAAATTTTCTTTATTTTTTTTATTTGACTCCTCATCACTGGAATTGCCGTCTTGACAAGTAAAATATTCCTGTGACGATTCGTTCGCAATATCTTCGATCTGTTTTCTTCTTGGTCGCACATTGGACACGGTACTGAAATATGTAATATATAAATTAATATGATATTTAATATTCACGCATAATTTTGTAATACTTACGTTCTATTATTCTGTGCAATAGGTTCGTCCGTAAAAGACAAATATGGCTCTAATTCCCAAGGTTTTTGCACCACAGCACCGGAACCACTCGCTGGAGATTTTTATCGTCTCTTATATGAGGCTTTTAAATTTGCGAAGCGTGTTTTTGTGATTTGCGGACTCCAACCTGCAAAAAGAATGTCAAATTATTAAAAACAAAATAGATATTCATCACAAAAATACAAAATAAAGCAGGAACCATCACGAAATTAAGGGTCATTTTCGTGTTTTTTGCAAATATCTTACACATTTGAATAGAATTTATTTAAAAAATGTGACATTTTTTAAATAAATTTTATTCAAATGTGCAAGATATTTGCAAAAAACACGAAAATGCCCATTAATTTCGTGACAGTCCCTAAAAAAAAGTGAATATAATTACCATTATTAAAAATTAATAAATAGTAACAGATCCAGGAAAAAAAGATCGATTCATAAATTTCTTTGTGAATCGTAAATTTTAAGAATGCGGATTGACGATTATCGTTTTAAATTGTTTTGAATAGGAGTTCGTCTTTAATCGTGATGTCTATATTGTATATCCTTACTGATAAAAAATTTACTGAATCATTTTTGACAATTTTGAATCGGATCAAAAATTATTAGGCCGGGTAAAATGACTTGAATCGGAGATTTCTTTTTAAGAATGAGGATTTTTAAAAAGAAATCTCCGATTCAAGTCATTTTACCTAGCCTAATAATTTTCAATCCGATTCAAAATTGTCAAAAAAGATTCAGTAAATTTTTTATCAGTAAGCTATACAATAGACATCACGATTAAAGACGAACTCCTATTCAAAATAATTTAAAACCATAATCGTCAATCCGCATTCTTAAAATTTACGATTCACAAAGAAATTTATGAATCGATCTTTTTTTCCTGGATCTGTTACTATTTATTAAATTTAATAATGGTAATTATATTCACTTTTTTTTAGGGACCGTCACGAAATTAATGGGCATTTTCGTGTTTTTTACAAATATCTTGCACATTTAAATAAAATTTATTTAAAAAATGTCACATTTTTTAAATAAATTTATCAGTAGGCTATACAATAGACATCACGATTAAAGACGAACTCCTATTCAAAACAATTTAAAACGATAATCGTCAATCCGCATTCTTAAAATTTACGATTCACAGAGCAATTTATGAATCGATCTTTTTTTCCTGAGGAAATAGTATTTCTGTTGAGAACAATCGTTAAAAAAGTTATTTTTATTTTTATTAATACGTGTCACCAAGTGATAAATTCAAAATTTGTAATATGCATAATAAATTTTTATATTACCTGGAAAACTTTTTGCAATTTCGACCCATCTTTCTGCAATTCTACCAGGACTCCTTTCAGCTAAAGGTAGGCTGAAATCCCAAATGCATCTGCTTTCCCGTACCAACTCCGCCAGATGAATGAGATTGTGATTGCTATATGTCGCAACTCCACTCGAATCTAACTGTATGCCAGTTGCTTGAACACTGTCATTTCTCTCATTGGCATTATTTCCTCCATTGTTCGGTGGTGCCTTTATAAAAATATAATATTACTTTTTGACTCAGGGACCGTCACGAAATTAAGAGGCATTTTCGTGTTTTTTGTAAATATCTCACACATTTGAATGGAATTTATTTTAAAAATGGGATCAAGTTTTGATAACATTTGAATATAAAGTTCCTACAGAGTTATAATGTCAAAATTAGTTGTCAATTTATTGGTATGAAAATCGTAACGGAATGAAATAGTTTTGTTATAATCAAACTATTTCTTTCCGTTACGATTGGATACCAATAAATTATGACAATTAATTTTGACATTATAACTCTGCAGGAACTTTACATTCAAATGTTATCAAAACTTGATCCCATTTTTAAAATAAATTCCATTCAAATGTGTGAGATATTTGCAAAAAACACGAAAATGCCCCTTAATTTCGTGACGGTCCCTGCTTTTTGTGTAAAATGTAATTTCGATTTATCAAATAGAATGATGGAAAGTTATACAAATTGCAGAAATAAGATGAATTGCAAAGAAATATTATATTTAAGTAAAGAACAAAACTGATTTTAAAAATTGAAAATTTTCAAACGACGTTTTTTTTCACTAAAATGAATAAAAAATATAAAAAAGCAAAATGTAAGGAAAAAAACAAAAAAATTACCAAAAAGGACAGGATTTTCTAAAAAACCAAAATATTCTACAAAAAGTTAGGAAAACCGATAAAATTAAAATAAATTAAAATTATTTACTTGAAACTCTTCATAATTTATTACGTTCCCGTCAAGCATAAGCTCGGCATCCGTAGCCCCCTTAAAGCATTCGTGCATTCCGACAGTGTCCAAGGTAAAAGTTCCTTTGCACATACCACAAATGACTGCCATATTCTGAAATTTAAAATAGTTGTGTTAAAAGCGAAAAACTTACATTGGACGTTCTAATATATATCATTTATAGTTAGAATTTAACTTACTTCACTGAAATTTGCTTCCGCCATTTTCCTGCTCTTTTTGATGATCTATAAATAAAAAAATAGGAAAAGAACTAGGCGCAATTGCGCCTACATCTAGGGTTTCGTGGCGCTTTAAGGGGACATGTCAACTACTGGGACATGTCAACTATAGGGACATGTCAACTATAGGGACATGTCAACTATATGGACATGTCAACTATTGGGACATGTCAATTACTGAGACAGGTCAACTACTGGGACATGTCAATTATAGGGGCATGTTAACTAATGGGACATGTAATGTCCATTCATGTAATGTCCATTCGGGAAAATGTCCATTCAGTAAATGGAGATTTGGGATCTATGGGGCCCCAAAATTTGAATTTGGGAGCTATGGTGCCCCAAAATTTGAATTTGGGATCTGTGGTGCCCCAAAATTCGAATTTGGGATCTCTGGTGCCCCCAAAATTCAAATTTGGGATCTGTGGTGCCCCAAAAGTTTAATTTGGGATCTGTGGGGCCCCAAAATTTGAATTTGGGATCTGTGGTGCCCCAAAAGTTTAATTTGGGATCTGTGGGGCCCCAAAATTTGAATTTGGGATCTGTGGTGCCCCAAAAGTTTAATTTGGGATCTGTGGGGCCCCAAAATTTGAATTTGGGATCTGTGGTGCCCCAAAAGTTTAATTTGGGATCTGTGCCCTAAAATTTGATTTTGGGAGCTGTGGTGCCCCAAAATATACTACGGACAGACGGACGCCAAAGTAAAACTATAAGGCTTTCGGCCATGGGCCACGAAACCCTAAAAATTACCTATCAATAGCCATTATATATCCCTGGCGAAATTAATTAAAAGATTTTTTACTGAAATCAGTTACACTGTAAAACTGCCGATTATGAATAAAAAAGTTAATTTACACTGTAAGACGTTGTAAAATCACATTGTCAATTTTTTATTATAAACGGACAGTCAGTTACTATCATTCATTTAAACGTAGTTTATTTATAATCCTGAAAGTTATTTTCCTAAATATAAACGTAACAAAAATACATTTCGGTAGAATATATTTTCACTACGTTTATCATATAAGGAAATGGCTTTCTGGATTGACTATCCGTTTACAATTAAAAATTGACAATGTGATTTAACAATGTCTCACAGTGTCAATTATAATTTTTTGTAATCGGCATTTTTTACATTGAAAATGATAAATTAATATTTACATAGAGTTAATTCCGATTTAGCATTATAATAATAGTTATTTCACTACTTATATATTTTGTTGATTAACCTACAAATATATTTTCCTACATTTGAAGGTTATGTTCGGTTTGACACTAAAAATATTGCGGTTAATCAGCAAAATATAGTAAAATCATGTATTACAATGATAAATTAATATTTATAAAATTGATTTGTTCAAGCAAATTAATAATTCAGTACTATAATTTCACTATAATATTTAAAATAAATATACCAAATTCTGACAGCATGCAACGATGACAGACCAGGAGTGACAATTTTTGAGGTTAGAATAACTTAAATACACACATCACTTTTTTTCACAGTAGTCATACATAAATCACTTAACTACAGAAAAAACAATAATATTGCAGTAATTTTAGTTTTTTTACACCCTTTTTATTATTAATATGTATTAAAACAGTATATTTCATTTTAATCATATTCAAATGTTCCGCCAATTTTCCGCTCTGCAAGCAGCTGGAAAAATCGAGCTGTGAACGCTGGCTGCTGTAACACTCAGCGATTATTTCACTTGGAAAGTTTTAATCTCGTTCTCCCTTTTTAAATTTGGACAAGTTGAATTCCGCCAAATTGAATTTGAATTTAAATTATAATAATAATTTAAAATTTTGATTTATTGAGTTCTTGAAATCACTTAAAATCCTAGAAAGGATTTACTTGTTTGTAATTTTATTAATTATTTCACTTTATTGTTAAAGGTTAATTAATTCAATAAAACACTGGCAATGTATATATATTAATATTTATTCAAGTTAAATTGAATATTTGAGTCTCGATAATTAACAATATTAATTATGATTAATTAATTTTATCAAATCAACATTTCAATAATTTTATTGAAATGAATTGATTGAATTTTTAATGTTAGTGTCCATTTCACATTTCCCTTTTATTTAAGGTTTTTTTACTTGAAAAATAATTATAGTTTTTATTTCTCGAATTATTCTAAGTCCCACTTTCACAATTTTTAAGAAAATTGTATAGAGATCAATTACGCAAATTGAAAAATATCTCGCCAAAAATCTGGTCCCTACCTCTTGATTTTTGCTTATAAAGACATTTCCCACTTATGTCAAGAGTCCCTTTTTCCCTTTCTTCTATTCTATTTTCCAATGATATTCTTTCTTTTTACCCTTTCAGTTCCGCCCTCACCAATCATGAGACTTGTTTACGCGAAAATCAATACATTTGTCGCGTAATTTCTCTCGTTTTTTATGGTGAACACCTGCACTTTTTACGCATTTAATATTCGCATTTTCTCTAAATCTATTTTTAAAAATAGATTTTCTCCCTATTTTTTATCAAATTAACTGTCATTTTACGTTTCATTTCATAATTTTTTAGCTTGTTTATTTCTTCTTTCTACGCATTTTGTTTTATCTCTTAAATCGATTACTACCAAATTTTCCATTCTTTTATTACAAAATATTGCAATTACTTATGAAATGTTTCTGTAATATTCCAGTTTAATTTGAGTCAGGAAAAATCTTCATTAATCTAATATTATTTTATTTATTATTTGAATATTTAAATATTCAAATATTCAAATTTTTCCCGCCATTTATTTAGATTATTATTAATTATTCTAATTCTATTATCGAGACTCAATTTTGCAGCGTTGCTTATCAGTACTCGCATTTGCCTAAAACAATTTTCTAGAGAAAAGGAAAACTGCAAAAAACCCTTTCTGAGTACTTACTAATTTAATTATTAATTATTCTTATTTTTAATTCCTAAGTTTAACGCATATATGTTTATATATATATACATGTAAAATTCTCAATTTTACCAATTTACGCTAATTACCTTTAATTATTGTTAATTATTATTAATCATCTTTAATTAAATTATAATTTTCATCATCGTAATTTATCAATAAAAGACAATAAATTACAATTGTTTCCTTAATATTATTTCTTATGTAACTTATTTCTATTCCTATATTTTATTAAATATATATTTTTAAGTCAATTCGTTCCCTTTCAACCTCTTGCAATTATCAATTAATATATCATCATTTAATTTCATTAAATGAGATTTTTACTGATTTGAATTTTATTATTTCAAATTAAGTACAGGGCGACATTAAATTTGTTCCGGTCCTGTAACTATAAAAGTTACACCGGGGTGACACAGTGGTTAATGCGGCACTGATCAACAGTGTCTGTCACTGTTACACTTCCATCCATATATAAAAATTTGATCATATGATCAAATTTTTCAAATTAAATAATAATTGTGACAGTGATTAAGTGAAAATGAATATGTGTAGTATTCCTTTGTATACATTAATGAGGATTATTCTAATTATTTTCATGTGAGTACTAGAATTGTGTGTTATTTATTTGATTTATTTTGTTAATAGATAATTCTCCTCCTTTTTTGTTTACCCTATATAAACTAATTGAATTACTCCCCTTTTTCTTTTTTATTAATTTTGTAATAACATACAATTCCTCCTTTTTATAAAATATGTTTATTGTTTAAATCAATTTGAATTTCGCGATATTTGACAGCGCTCCCTTTGTTTACATTTCTCTTGTCGTCTGCTATGCTTTTAAAATTTTCCTTTTTCAATTATTTTTCTTTTATTGCTTAATTCATTCTATTTTTTCATTAAATAGATTCAATAATTAATTTTATTTAGGTTAGTAATTACTATTTTTGTAAATTTCCTTTTGTTTACATTGTTATAGATTTCCTAACCTAAAACCCGCGAAAATTCAAATGTCTTAAATTAAATATGTTCGATTTTTCCCCTTTTTTTTTTTTATTTAATTTTCATTTATTTAGAAAATTGTCATACTTAATAGATTATGATTAAATATATTAATTTCATTAAATAATTCCCTTTTTCTTCCCCTTTTTTTTTTTTTTTTTTTTAGGTAATTGCAACGGTGGATTAATACATAGTGGGCTGCTATGGAATCCAATTATTGAAAAGATTCTTTTAAAAATATCACCCTTTTCAACAGTCATCCAATAATCGTTTTATTGTAAGTATTATTTTGTTTATTATTATTTTTTTTTTGTTTTTCCTTTTAGGTTTTCATTGTTGCTGATATATAAATAAAAATTATATATATTTTTCCTTGCTGATTATTTAAATTGTAAGTATAATTAAAAATGATTATTATATTATTTATATTCTGTTAATAGCGTATTTCCCTTTTTTAAATAAAGTCATTTTTTTAGGTTAAAAGAAAAAATCTCAATTTTATCAATTTGGGTTGCAGCGAAATAAACTATGGTGAGTATTAAAATTCCCTTTTAAATTTTTTTTTCCTTTTCTTATATATATATATATATATCTCCTCCCCCCCCCTTTTTTTTGTATATATATATATTATTATTTCTTCCCCTTTTTTTTTTAAAAAAAGGATCAATTTAGGAATTTGATTATTGAATATTTTATGTGAAGAATTATTTCAAAAAATAGAGTTTATTTTTTTTTTTTTACAAATTACATGCTAATTATAAAAATAATGGACATAGCCAATTAAATATAATAAAACCCCCCCCCTTTTTTTTTTAATTAAGGCTCGAATCTGATATAATTAATGTGGGTCTGCTGAGTGCAGAACTTTTTCCAATTGTTTATATATATAGATCTACATCTCGTGCACTTTTCGGAGTCCATAAATTGAGACACTATTCTTTTTTTACAAAATCCACACTCAAATATACGTATTTCGAACTTATTGTTGGCTTTCATCTTATGCCTAAATACTAACTCAAAGTTTGGTAGGCGAAACGCCCCCAAACTTTCCCCCGTATATTCTTTAATAATGGATTTTTCGAAAAATTCCTCTTCGAGGAGGGTATTTTTCGTCTGTGCACATAATGCACAGAGTACTATCCCTCCTCGATACTGTTGGAAAAAGGGGATTTCCAAGTGATAATATTCTTGGAAATTTTCCCAGAATTTGGAGATCCCTTTCGCCGGTATTTGAAGATTTTTAATTTTTTCTTTTTCGTCTTCGATCTGAATCAGATCGGGGACCTGAAAAAGAGAAAATATACATATATCCCTCCATACATATATATATTTTTTCCCCTTTTTTTTTCAAAAAAATTTTTTTTTTAAAATTTTAATCAAAAATTTTCCCCCTTTTTTTTTCTTACATATTTTTCTTCCAAAACGGCACTTAGTACTTCCATGATGAATGATGATGCTTTGTTTTTTTTTTTTTTTTTAGGAAAACCACCTCTCCTTCACTTTCCCTTATTATTATTCACCCTTTTTATTTTAAAAATGTTCTTTTCTTCATTTCTTTTGACAGATATTGCGTCTTAATTTTTTCATATCCCTTGCTGCCATCTACTTCCGTTTAGAATATATATTTTTTTTTCTAGTAATATTTTTTTTTTCTAGGGTATTTTTTTTTTTTTTTTTTTTTTTTGTGGGAAAATTCAAATTATCAAAAAGAAATATAATACCTTTTTGATTTTGATTAATTAATTTGTTTCTCCCCTTTTTTTCAGAATAGAGGACTTCAGGACATTATTTATTTTCAAAGGATATTAGGGTATTTACTTTCCAGAGGACATCACGACATTCATCATAATTTCAATCATCTTCAAAAGGACATCAAGATATTTATATTCAAGACATTACAACATCTACCAAAAATTCAAGGATATCAGGATATTTATTCTCAAAAGGACCTTACAACATCCTTCAGAAAATTCAAGGACATTAGGATATTAATTCTTTAAAAGGACACCACGATATTCATCATAAATTTATGGGCATAAAGATATTCATTCTTAAACGGACACTACGATATTCACCAAAAATCTATGAACATCAGGATATCCATTCTCGAAGGACACCACGACATCCACCGAAAAGGGACATTAATTATAGTATCGATGATATTTAAATTAAATAGAAAGAAACCTTTTCCTTCCCTTTTTTTTATACAAAAATTTTATAAAAAATTTTTTTTTTAGGTTGTCGGACGCACATTCAAGGAGCAACTTTTTTAAAATTCTCATTCGTCATAGGATCAAATCTTCCGCCGTGGGATTCAAAATACATATATATATTAAGACCATTTCCTATAGGAGATCGTCTCAACAAAAATAGACCATCCTCTTTTTTTTTAAAAAAAAATTTTTTTTTTTTTGGATCGTCTCAACAAAAAATTTTTTTTTTACTAACTTTCCCTTATTTTTCTCTTTTTAATAATAAAATCCCCCTTTTTCTTATAATCTTATAAATGCATGTTTTACGCGATTCACGTGTACAATTTTTTTTTCACCTGAATTAATTTGAATCTCGATATTATATTCGTTTATAACTCTTGTAATTTTAAAAGGACCTGTGTAGTGATCTTCAAATTTATTTTCTCTTTTTTCGTTTGTTAGATAAATATATTCTCCCTTTTCAAAATTCTTCTCATTTATTTTCATATCGTAATATTTTTTGCACCGTTGTTTTGCAGCCAGCAATCTGGTAATTACCATTGATTCTGTTTCGGCTATTTGTTTCAATAATTCATTCACATAAAAATCATAAGTTATTGAAAATTGATTTTTGGCAAATTCTGATGGAATTCGCGCCTTTTTCCCAAATACCATTTCATGAGGTGTTATCCCTGTAGATTCATGTAAAGAGGTATTAAAGGAAAATATTGCTGATTGCAACCAACAATCCCACTTCTGACACCAAAAATTCTTTCTAATGTTTTTGTTTCCCCTTTATGTCCCCCCACTACACTATCATGACATTCTTCAATAATTGTTTTTCGAATTTCTTCCCTTGGAATTTCAATTTCCCCAGTACAAATGGTAATTTTGTAATTTTCTTTTTCAAAATTTATTTTAAAAATTCTTTCTATTATATTCCAGGGTATTTTATCGAATCCGTTACCTTCTCTAGAAATACTAAAAGTTTTTCGTTCTTGTTCATTAATTAATGCTTCCTTTAATGTTTCGACCGCAGCCTCTAAATCTCGCAAATAAAATTTACTATTAAATTTTTCTTTTATAAATAAATTAAATACTTTATTATTTTTACCTCCTGAACTTAATACTTGACCTACTTCTATAGGTAATTTTTCTAAATCTAACAAACCAACCTCTTGTAATTCCTTTGCCTGTGGCGTATGAATCACATAATCACAAGACAAAAAATTTATTAAATTATCTTCTCTCATCCATAATTTTTCTTTTGAAATTTGAAATAATTCATCGGGGATTACCAATACATACGCTTCTTTCTCTCTTTCCCTTGATTTAATCAAACCTTTTAATTTCACTTCACTTTCTAAATCACTATCTGAATTTTCATAGTTTTCTTCATAAAATTTTCTCTTTCTTAACTCTGTCAGTTTTTCCGTCTTTTTCGTCACGTTAAGTATGTGGTCATATTTATTATCTCCTAGATTCTGAAAGGATTTATCAGCTCCAATCAGATCTAGTTTTAATTCATCAGCAGATTTATCTGACTCCTGAAGAGCACATGATCCGTCAATAATTTTATTCTCCTGACAGTTCATGCCCCCCGATAACGTTTTTTCATCGTCATTGCTATTATCAGATTTTTCTACTGATATTTTCTTTTCTTCACAATCAGCACCTCTTATTTTAGGTGTTACTGATTCTTTCAAAGGGGTATTTATTATTTGAAATTCTAATTTTTCTAATTTCTACGTAAGTCATAAATACCTTTTCTATTAAATTTTCATTATCATAAGTATTGTCAACCCTTTTTTCTTGATTATTCAATTTTTCATTAAATTCCCCTGTTAAGTTGAATTCTAATTTTTTGAATATTTGATTGCGAGAAAGAGCGTCCGCATTGGAATTAACCCTCCCCGGTCTATGTATGATTTCACAATCATAATCTTGTAATTTTATTTTCCATCTTGCTAATCTTGAATTTATAGTAGGATCTTTTAACTGATTTAACCAAACTAATGCCCGATGATCAGTAACTATGATAAATCTTTTTCCAAAAATATAAGGTCGAAATTGTTTTATTGCAAAAATTATAGCTAATAGTTCTTTTTCAGTTGTACTATAGCGTAATTCTGCTCCACCCATAGTTCTTGATGCATAAGCAATGGGCAAGTCCTTTCCAATTTCACCCTGGCTTAATACTGCCCCTATTGCGAAATCAGAAGCATCGGTCGTCACAATAAAAGGTTTTGAAAAATCAGGATATTGTAGTATTGGTTGTGTACACAATATCCTTTTTAATTGAGCAAATGCCACTTCAACTTCCGAGTTCCAGTCAAATTTTACATTTTTTCTTAATAAATTTGTCATTGGTTTTGCAATTTTAGCAAAATTAGGAATAAATCGTCTATAGTATCCAGCCAAACCAAGGAACTGCTTAATATTTTTTTGAGTTTTCGGTCGTGGAAAATTTTGAACAGCATCAACCTTTTTTGGATCGGGTTTTACCCCATTTTCAGATATTATATGTCCTAAATACCCAATTTCTTTTCTTAAAAAATTACATTTATCAGGCTGTAAAACTAATCCTGCGTTTTTTAATCTTCTTAATAATTTTTCAAGTTTTTCTTTATGTTCTTTAAGTGATTTTGCATAAATTACTATATCATCCATATAAACAAACAATTCTATTCCCTGTAGCCCCGATAAAACCCTATCCATCATTCTTTGAAAGGTTGATGGACTATTTTTTAATCCAAAAGGCATTCTATTAAATTCGTAATGCCCAAATGGTGTTGAAAATGCTGTTTTATGTCGATCTTTTGGAACTACCTCTACTTGATGAAATCCTTGTGCCAAATCTAATATTGTAAAGAATTTTGCACCCCCAATTTGATCCAAAATTTCACTAATGAAAGGTAATGGATATACATCATTTATTGTTTTTTCATTTAATTTTCTATAATCTATCACCATTCGCCATTTTTTATTGCCCTGATCATCCTCCTTTTTAGGTACAATCCATACAGGAGAATTATAAGGTGCTTTAGATGGAGAGATTGATTTATTTTTAAGCAGATCCTCAGTCTGTTTTTTAATTTCTTGTTTATGTACTTCAGGGTACCTAGGATATTTACTATTTACTGGTACTTCATCAATTGTTTCTATTGTATGTTGTATTACTTTTGTAAAACCCAAACTATCACCCGGAAGATGAAATTGATGACAATATTTTCTCAACGTAGGGATTAATTCTTGTTTTTCTGAATCATTTAAATGTTCAAGTTTAAGTATCTCTTTTAATTTTTCAAATCTTTCCTTTTCATTTTCTATTCTTAAATTTAAACACCTTGACTGGTCTTTAAATTTTTGATTTGTCTTTAATTCTTCAAAATCAAAAATTTTTGTTGGTGGTATTATTAATTCTATATCTTTACTTGTTGTATTTATACAAAAAGTTTTTGCAAATTCGTTTTTGATAGTTACTAATACTTCACCTAAATAAACTCCAGGCCCTGTTGGTAATAAGGGTAAATATCCAGTATCTAAGTTTTCTTCGTTTATTATCGGTATTTCAACTAACTGTTTTGTTCGAGCTTTTATTTTCAGTAATTTTCCTTTATTTCGAGTAATAATAGGAAATTCGCCTAGTTTATGAATTAATAATTTTTTCTTTAAATCTATCGTTGAATTCTTTAAAAATGGCATTCCTAAAATACCATCCTGCTTGATTGGAAAATCATCAGGCACAAGTTGATAGGATTGTACATCCCCATCAAGATCCACCTGAATCTCCCCAACTGTAAATATTCCTTCTTTATTTATTCCAAATATTTTTTGCTTATTAGCATAATTTATAAAAACATTCGATTTTACACATTTAGATTTTATTAAATTTATTTCCGCTCCTGTATCTACTACCATTTTTACTTTATTGTTATTAAAATTTTCGTTACTAATTTCGATTTCTGGTGAACTTTCAATTTTTTTATATTCATACATTAACACGATTCTTTTTTCGGGTATTACTTTACCTTTTGACTCATCATCATACCCCCATGTTGAGTCCAACTTTAGTTTTTTGTATTTTCTCGTTTTTCCTGTTGTCCTTTATTTATTAATTTTAAACGTTCATAACATATTTCTTTTGTATGACCCCCCCTTTTACAATATGTACAAGTTCCCCTGCAATTTTCTGTTATGTGATTATTTTTCACTCCACATTTAGTACATTCAATATTTCCTTGCTTAAATTGAGGACAATTAGGTCTTATGTGTCCCTCTTCCCCACATGCAAAACAAACTTTATCTCTTTTTTCATTAGATTTTCTATTTTGACAATTTCTTTTCATGTGGCCCGGTTTTCCACACCCATAACATATAAATTCTGACCTTCCGTCCTTAATTTCAGTTTCATTAACTTCTTCTTCTTCTTTTATGTTTACCTGATTTATTTTTTCTTGTTTAATTAAAGGTTTCTTTGATTGATTATTCTTAAAATTTTCCCCTTTTTTTTGAAATGTTCTTTTTCTTCCCATTAATCTAATTTTTGGACTTTCTCTGTTAGGTCTATAATTAGGTTTAGAAAATGGTGCTCTATTTTCGCAATTAGAATCATCTTTCTAAATCCTAACTAAAGATTCCTCAAATTTTATTTCCCATTCTGCCTTTCTAGCTATTTTTAATGCTTCAATAAAACTTTTAGGTTTTTCTAATCTCACTCTCAAGGCTATTTCTTTTCTTAAACCTATAATAAAATTTTCTGCAGCGGCATCTTGAGTTGCCTCTATCAATGCGATGATCTTATCTTCATTTTTAGTTTCTTTTGTTACTTCAATTATCTGATTTGTGATTTCACCGATTCTATTACCAAATTCTTGTACTGTTTCGTCTTCTCTTTGAGCTATGGTTGCAAGCATTGAATTTAATTGCCCTAATCTTTTATATTCTCCAAATGTATTTTTCAAACATTTTAACAAATCATTTAAATTATTTAATTTTTGATTAAATAATGACGTTTCGGCTGCTCCCACTATCCTACTTTTTATCACACGAAATAAATTATTACGATACTTGGGATCAACCGATTCGTCTGCCAATTTACAATTTTTGATAAATTTTTCGATAGAGATATTTTGACCATCGAATTCCTTCGGCAAAAACTCAAGGGCCTCCTTGAGAGTAAAATAAACCTCTTCATTTTTATTTTCCATTAAAATTAAATCTGTGTTATCTTTTTGAATTCCCTTTTCTCCCTCAGATGTATTTGATAACGAAATTGCGTCGTCATCAACTTCCCATGACCCTACTGAAGGACCCATATTTTTAACATTCAATTCACTTATATCACCCTGCGGAGTTTTTGTTATGTCACCCTGAGACATTTTTAATATTTAAATGATTTGAAAATTGCAAGAAGTTTTTTTTTTCTTTTTTTTTAAAAAAAATAAGGAATTGAATTGACTTACCCTTTTATGCTGATAAATTTTTTATATCCTTAAATCTGCTTTAACACAAGATAATTGTTGTTGTATATTTGTTATTATTAAAAAAAAATATTATTTATTATTTATATTTTTTTTTTTATTCACTTCACTTTCTTCTTTTTGAATATCCCCGCCAGTATTAGTTTATTCTGTAAAAAGCAGGGAATCCCCGATTCTTGCACCTATCCGCTGTCTTCTTCCTTGTTTGTCTTCTCCTTTTTTTTTTATTAATTAATGATTCTTCGAAGTATGATTCTTCTTCCTTCTTCGAACAGAGTTGCCAATGACCCTACCTAAACGCTACTGCGCTTGCGTTACGACAACTCTCTTATAGGTCGAAAAAAGCGCGCTTATATAAAATACTTAATAATAAGAAAACTTTAATAAAGCAATATAAAAATATTTTCACTATTGAATTTTTTTTTTGTTAATTATATTGCTTCCTAATAAAAAAAATACTAATTTCCTTAATATACTTAAGAATATAATAATAAAAATAATAATAATTTTATTATATTTATATCATTATTGTAATTATTTTTTAAATAAAATATTCATAATCTATTATTATTATCATCAATATAATATTTATTATTATCATTATTTTCAATAAATTATTATTAAATATCTATGAATGTATTATATGTATTGTATTTCAAAAAAATTCGCTAAAGTTTTAAAAAAATATATATGTATATATCATAGATAATTAATAAATAACAATTTAATGATAATAACAAAAATAAATAATATATTACATAATTAATTAATAAATATTAAATTGATAATAATAATAATAGATTATATATTTTATAAAAAAATAATAACAATAATGATATAAATATAATAAAATTATCAATATTATAATTATTATTATTTTTACATACATAAGTACATTGAGTAAATTAATATTTTTTTTTATTAAGAAGCAATATAATTAACAAAAAAAATAAATTCACTAGTGAAAATAGTTTTATATTGCTTTATTAACGTTTTCTTATTATTAAGCATTTTATATAAGCGCGCTTTTTTCGACCTATAAGAGAGTTGTCGTAGCGCAAGCGCAGTAGCGTTTAGGTAGGGTCATTGGCAACTCTGTCTTCGAAATGTATTATTCTATAAGTTGAAATTTGCTGTCTTCTGATTCTTCTTTTTTTAAAAATTATGTGAATTATTCTTCTTTTACCAAACAAGCTGATTTGCATCCCACTTCTGACACCAAAAATTCTTTCTGTAACACTCAGCGATTATTTCACTTGGAAAGTTTTAATCTCGTTCTCCCTTTTTAAATTTGGACAAGTTGAATTCCGCCAAATTGAATTTGAATTTAAATTATAATAATAATTTAAAATTTTGATTTATTGAGTTCTTGAAATCACTTAAAATCCTAGAAAGGATTTACTTGTTTGTAATTTTATTAATTATTTCACTTTATTGTTAAAGGTTAATTAATTCAATAAAACACTGGCAATGTATATATAATATTAATATTTATTCAAGTTAAATTGAATATTTGAGTCTCGATAATTAACAATATTAATTATGATTAATTAATTTTATCAAATCAACATTTCAATAATTTTATTGAAATGAATTGATTGAATTTTTAATGTTAGTGTCCATTTCACATTTCCCTTTTATTTAAGGTTTTTTTACTTGAAAAATAATTATAGTTTTTATTTCTCGAATTATTCTAAGTCCCACTTTCACAATTTTTAAGAAAATTGTATAGAGATCAATTACGCAAATTGAAAAATATCTCGCCAAAAATCTGGTCCCTACCTCTTGATTTTTGCTTATAAAGACATTTCCCACTTATGTCAAGAGTCCCTTTTTCCCTTTCTTCTATTCTATTTTCCAATGATATTCTTTCCTTTTACCCTTTCAGTTCCGCCCTCACCAATCATGAGACTTGTTTACGCGAAAATCAATACATTTGTCGCGTAATTTCTCTCGTTTTTTATGGTGAACACCTGCACTTTTTACGCATTTAATATTCGCATTTTCTCTAAATCTATTTTTAAAAATAGATTTTCTCCCTATTTTTTATCAAATTAACTGTCATTTTACGTTTCATTTCATAATTTTTTAGCTTGTTTATTTCTTCTTTCTACGCATTTTGTTTTATCTCTTAAATCGATTACTACCAAATTTTCCATTCTTTTATTACAAAATATTGCAATTACTTATGAAATGTTTCTGTAATATTCCAGTTTAATTTGAGTCAGGAAAAATCTTCATTAATCTAATATTATTTTATTTATTATTTGAATATTTAAATATTCAAATTTTTCCCGCCATTTATTTAGATTATTATTAATTATTCTAATTCTATTATCGAGACTCAATTTTGCAGCGTTGCTTATCAGTACTCGCATTTGCCTAAAACAATTTTCTAGAGAAAAGGAAAACTGCAAAAAACCCTTTCTGAGTACTTACTAATTTAATTTAATTATTAATTATTCTTATTTTTAATTCCTAAGTTTAACGCATATATGTTTATATATATACATGTAAAATTCTCAATTTTACCAATTTACGCTAATTACCTTTAATTATTGTTAATTATTATTAATCATCTTTAATTAAATTATAATTTTCATCATCGTAATTTATTGTCACGTCACCGTAACATATTTTATAAATAAATGTTATTATTTTTAATGAATTAATTAAATAAATAAATATATTTGTAAATAAATAATTGTTTATAATTAAACAAATATTTGTAAACAAATATTTGTAAATAAACAGTTGTTTATAAATAAACAAATATATTTATAAATAAATAAATGTTTATAAATAAACAAGTATTTTTAAATAAACAAATACTTGTAAATTAACAATTATTTATAAATAAACAATTGTTTCTAAATAAATATATGTATTTATAAATAAATAATTGTGAAACAAGTATTTGTAAATAAACAAATACTTGTTAATAAACAATTATATGTAAACAAATAATATTTTATAATAATATTATATTTATAATGCAAAAGATATATATGTTGTTTTTGATGTTTGGTGGTTGAGGAATATAATTTTCAAATGAATGGACCATATATGTGAGTCACTACTACATAGAAGAGAAGACTAATACTGTTTACATCGGTGAGGTGGTACCGTCCTAGAAAAAGACTTCCTGGGTTAGCTGGTCCCATCGAAAGATTTACATTATAAAATTTTTGTATATAAAGGGAAATCTTTCCCATGGAGGACAGTCAAAAAATCAGTATCAATATCAGTATCAGTTGTGAAGCAGTTTAGTTCGACGAATATATACATATATACATAAGTGTCGGCAGTATCTACAGTCATTCATAAGTGCTATAAAAATACAAGTGTTCAGCAATTAAAGAAAAAGGGTCAAAGAACTTAGTGAAATACAGAAAATACGGTCCAGAAGTTCCAGTGAAAATTCTGTCATAAAATTTTTACGAGCGACCTTTTAACATCTGACATAGAAGATCTTATCTGACGTTGAGTGGTCCAGCTGTCGAAACACCAATAAAAGACTCGAGGTAAACAAGAACCCAAATCTTATAGGAAGGAATATTTGATAATTGTTTCTTAACCATTAAATAATTAAAAGCATAATATTTTCTTTTAAATAAACTTTTATATTTTGTTTATTAATAAATAGTTTTATTAAATAAATAATATTTTTTGACCATTCATTTAATACCTCTTCCCAACTTAATTTATTTAATTAAGTTAAATTGAGGAAACAGATTAGGGAATAATTATAAGTTCATTAGATTAGGAAAATTTAATAATATTTAAAAATTTCAAATTTAAATTTTAGACATAACATTATCAATAAAAGACAATAAATTACAATTGTTTCCTTAATATTATTTCTTATGTAACTTATTTCTATTCCTATATTTTATTAAATATATATTTTTAAGTCAATTCGTTCCCTTTCAACCTCTTGCAATTATCAATTAATATATCATCATTTAATTTCATTAAATGAGATTTTTACTGATTTGAATTTTATTATTTCAAATTAAGTACAGGGCGACATTAAATTTGTTCCGGCCCTGTAACTATAAAAGTTACACCGGGGTGACACAGTGGTTAATGCGGCACTGATCAACAGTGTCTGTCACTGTTACACTTCCTGCTTGCTTGCGCAGGCAAGCAGTCACCAGAGCTGTGAGTGTACCTTGACATATAACAAAGGTTCAGTACCTGTAAGTGCCGAAAAAGGATAGTTTAAATCTGCTAAATTGAAACAACTGTCAGATATTTTGTTAACAAAATCATTTACAATAGTTTCTTTATCCTGTGGCTTAGTTTCGAAAGGATCGCTCTCGCAAGTGTTATTTTTAAAAGGCCTACTATCTTGTAGTGAATTAGTTTCTGCAATGACATTATTTTTAAGAATAAATTTCCTATTATTCTTAATTTTCTCGATATCCTTTTCATCAATATAATAACGATTAGATTCCCAATAGATAAAAATCTCAAGATCTTTTGAACTATACACTCCATTAATTTCAGATATATCAGTTTCCAAATTCAAACACTTTATTTCGCCTTTTTTAGTTGTAAGTCTTTTTCTCTTAGGCATCTTCATTTCTTTTCTTTCCAACAAACGATAAAGGGTATCTCCAGCTTTATTTAGCTCTTCTGGGACATCTCCGGGTTTATTTTGTTCTTCTGTGACATATGCAGATTTAGTTTGTTCTTCTGGGACATATCCAGGTTTATTTTGCTCATATGGGACATCTCCAGGTTTAGTTTGTTCTTCCAGGACATATCCAGGTTTATTTTTAATTTTTGATTCCTGAGACCGTTTTGATATCTTCTGGACCGTTCTACCTCTTTTAACGATCCAATTAATCTTTTCCCGAACAATTGGGACACTTAGCTTTGATTATATCTTTCTTACCACATCCATAACAAATTATATTTTTAGCTTCTGTATAATCTTGATGGCGGTGTCCCTATTGCTCACAGTTCCAACATGTGATTTTAACTTGTTTATTGGAAATATTTTTGGAATCTTCTTCTTCTTTTGATGAAGACTCTTTCTTGGATTTTTCTTTAAGGTTTATTGTTATTGATTCAGAGGATTTATTTTTATCTTTTATGGAGTTATTCTTCTAACTCATTTTCTTCTTCCTCTTCAGAATCTTCTTTCATTTGTTTAAGATATTCTCTTCTCGTATTCGTTTCATGAGTCCTTTTTGGTTGAAGTTTCACATTCGATCCTCTATAGGCAAGGTCAGGGAGTAAACAACTCTCGGGTTTTGGGGGTGCTGAATATAATCGAGCAAGGCGAAACGATTTTGCAGCAGCAACTGCTATTTGTTCAAAGTGTGTGAAGTCTCGTATGTTTGTGCGAGGAATAATAAGGTGTCAACGCGGTAACAGTTTCCTGTGAGCAAAATTGATTTCCTCATATTCAGTCAATCTCGGTGATAACCTGTCGAACGTGACAAGCATGCATGTTAAATAATCTGCAACGGGTTCTTGTTCTCATGTTCTTCGGTATATATCCTGCATCAACTCGAACTGAAAATCAGGATCACTGAATCGATTTCTGAAATCCCTCGAAAAATCTTCAAAATAAAACCAACGATTCCTATATACGTCGTACCATCTAGCGAAAATTCCTGTAAAGAAAAATGGCAGAAGGTTTAGAAGATCTTCGTCTTCTACAAAAATCATTGTTCTTCCTTTTATTATTCTTTTTATAAACACGGCAGGATCTTCTCTGCGTGCTCCCGAGAATTTCAGATTCCATTTTCGCATTATTTCAAATGCCTGAGCTGTTGGATTAAAGCGATTACGACGATTGAAAGGTTCTTGATAGTTAGGGTTAAACTGTTCATGACTCCTACTTAGAGGTCTTTCTTGATTGAATGGGATGTCATAATTAAATTGAACTCGAGGTCGTTCATTGATTACTCGATTTAAATTTTGAGGGGAAGTTGTATTTTATTTCTTACATCGTCTTGATAATTGACTGCTCTCCTATTTCCCGCTTCTCGAATGGACATTCTTCTAAAATTTCTTTCAAAATCATTTGTTAATCTCGTTTCTCTATTTAATGTTGGTTCTCGAATTCTGTTATGCTCATTATAAACCAGAGGACGGTCATAATAATTTCGATATAATGATTCATTCATACGAGTGTCCAAATTTCTCTGTAATCGAATATTATTATTATTTCTATAAGACTGTGATGGATGTTCATAATAATAAACTTCATCCTGTCGAAAACGTTCTGAATAATGCTGTGTCGGTGGCAGTGCACAGTGGGGCCAAAAACACGTCCGTGGACAAATTAACTTAGAGCCTACAAATTTCAACCGATTTTGACGTTCTTTGAATTGACTTAAAGGTAATAAAATTCCACACAGCGCTGTCGTTTTTGTTTTTTAAAAAAAAAATTTTTCTATTGTTTATTTATTGTTAAAGTTGAAAAAATTTTTCTTTCTTCTCTAAAAACTACATAAGTTTTTCAAAAAGGACGGTATTACATCAACAAAGCCTAAAATTGTTAAAGCAATGATTTGAGAACATTTTCTGAGATTTAAATAATTGTTTAAAAATTTTTTGTAATTGTTATTAACAAATTAGCGGACTAAAGACGATTTAATTGTTTTTTTTACTTTTAGCAATTGAAATGCATGTAATCTTTTGTATTTAAGGGCCAAAAGTAATTAACATTGAAAATAATTATTATAAACTAATTATTGTTATTTTTTAAACAATTTTTATAAACAATTTTCTTTATCTTAGTTCTTTATAACTAAATTATATAAATATTGTGTTCAGTCTACTATATTATTACTCAAGATGAACAAATATTGCTAAATTTTGACAATTTTCAACTTAGCTTTGTTTAAACAACTCTTAATTAACAAATACACAGTGACGTTGTTTTTAGTTGTTTCAAATTCGTTTTTTTTCAAGACACCTTAATTTTTAAATATTTTTATATTACACCGTCCGACACGATTTTTCACACATGAAAAAATCAATGATTTTCAGAAACACCAAAAAAAAGATACCCGTGTCTGTCCGTTTTGCTAGATCAGGTCATTTTTTGCTTTTAGAGGTAAAAACAGCCCTTAAATGAAAGGTGATAGGAAATCTTGTACAAATTAATAATTTTTTATGAAACCTGGTATCTCGGGGTTTTCCGGGTCGCTGATTACGAATCTGATGTCAGATTTTCAAATTTCAAAATGGTGGATTCAATATGGCGTTCGAAATTTATAAAAGTTCATCGAATTTACTTGAAACTTGTTACTTTAAGGTTTTTGGGGTCGCTGATTGCGAATATGATGTCAGATTTTCAAAATTCAAAATGGCGGATTCAATATAGCGGTCGAAATTTATAAAAGTTCATCGAATTCACTTGAAACTTGTTACTTGAAGGTTTTTGGGGTCGCTGATAACGAATATGATGTCAGATTTTAATAATTCAAAATGGCGGATCCAATATGGCGGTCGAAATTTATAAATATTAATCATTTTTTATAAAACTTGGTGTCTAGAAGTTTTTGGGGTCGCTGAGCACAAATCTGAAGTCAGATTTTTAAAATTCAAAATGGCAGATTCAATATAGCGTTTGAAATTTTTAAAAATTCGTCGAATTCACTTGAAACTTGTTACTTGAAGGTTTTTGGGGTTGCTGATTACGAATTTGATGTCGGCTTTTCAAAATTCAAAATGGCGGATCCAATATGGTGGTCGAAATTTATAAATGTTTTTATGTTATTATTATTATTATTATTATTATGTTATTATCAGCGACCTCAAAAGCCCCTAGACATCAAATTTTATAAAAAATAATTAATATTTATAAATTTCGACTGCCATATTGGATCCGCCATGTTGAATTTTAAAAATCTGACATCATATTCGCAATCAGCGACCCCAAAAACCTTAAATTAACAAGTTTCAAGTAAATTCGATGAACTTTTATAAATTTCGAACGCCATATTGAATCCACCATTTTGAATTTTGAAAATCTGACATCAGATTCGTAATCAGCGACCCGGAAAACCCCGAGATACCAGGTTTCATAAAAAATTATTAATTTGTACAAGATTTCCTATCACCTTTCATTTAAGGGCTGTTTTTACCTCTAAAAGCAAAAAATGACCTGATCTAGCAAAACGGACAGACACGGGTATCTTTTTTTTGGTGTTTCTGAAAATCATTGATTTTTTCATGTGTGAAAAATCGTGTCGGACGATGTAATATAAAAATATTTAAAAATTAAGGAGTCTTGAAAAAAAACAAATTTGAAACAACTAAAAACAACGTCACTGTGTATTTGTTAATTAAGAGTTGTTTAAACAAAGCTAAGTTGTAAAATTGTCAAAATTTAGCAATATTTGTTCATCTTGAGTAATAATATAGTAGACTGAACACAATATTTATATAATTTAGTTATAAAGAACTAAGATAAAGAAAATTGTTTATAAAAATTGTTTAAAAAATAACAATAATTAGTTTATAATAATTATTTTCAATGTTAATTACTTTTGGCCCTTAAATACAAAAGATTACATGCATTTCAATTGCTAAAAGTAAAAAAAACAATTAAATCGTCTTTAGTCCGCTAATTTGTTAATAACAATTACAAAAAATTTTTAAACAATTATTTAAATCTCAGAAAATGTTCTCAAATCATTGCTTTAACAATTTTAGGCTTTGTTGATGTAATACCGTCCTTTTTGAAAAACTTATGTAGTTTTTAGAGAAGAAAAAAAAATTTTTTCAACTTTAACAATAAATAAACAATAGAAAAATTTTTTTTTTAAAAAACAAAAACGACAGCGCTGTGTGGAATTTTATTACCTTTAAGTCAATTCAAAGAACGTCAAAATCGGTTGAAATTTGTAGGCTCTAAGTTAATTTGTCCACGGACGTGTTTTTGGCCCCACTGTGCAGTGACTCATATACGGGTGGGGGTGTATTAGAATCGGTTTGCCTATTCGCGAGAACGGTTCGATTTTGAATAGTTGAATCTGCATGAACGCGAGGTACAGAATTTAAATTCATTTGCGGATCACGATTGCTAACCTGAACATTATTATTATTCGCAGTTGGTTGTCGAGGAATGTCACCTAAACTTTGGTTTCGTTGAATATCATCATTGATATTGGGGTTTATTTCTCGTAGAACTCTATTTTCCTGAGCAGCAACAGAAGCAGCGCCATCTGCTTGATTGTTGCGAACATCGTTTAAAGATTAATTATTTTGAGTATCGGGGCTTAAAGCTGACACGGTAGACATACTATTATTTTATTTAAGTGACGCATTTAAATTTAGAATTATTGTTTGATCGCCGGTCAAACTCGGGTTAGGGGGTAAATTAAAATCAGAAACATCCTATGTTTCTTCGGGTATGTTTTCTCCTATATTTCGAGAAGCATGCTCATAATGGCGTAAGCGTCGTCTTCTTTCATCAGCCGTTCCTGGTAATGGTAATCCTCTATTCGACAATTCAATTTCTAATTCTGTTGAATTTAAATTGTCTATCCAAGACCTTCCGTATTGGTTCATTTTGAATTCTAAAAAAAATTATTTGCTTCGAGTAAAAAAATAAAATATTTAATCTGCATTTTAAAAGTTTAAACAAATCATAAAAGAAATATTTTCAATAAATCAAAAAAAATAAAATTTTATTTCAGCGCAGATATAAAGGAAAAAATATTTTCGTTCTTTCTAATATAAGAATTTCCTATTGCTATTCAATATTAATTGTAAACATGGGACTGCTTTTCAGCAAACACAATGGTAACAAAGAAATCAATTATAAAATAAGTTTTCAAAACACAACACAAAAATATAAACTCTCCAGGAATCCTGAAAATAAAATTTATAAAACATATTTTATAGTAAATCCTTGACCAGAGAAAATCATTTAAAGAGTTCCATAATCGTTCAAATAGTAAAAAATGGCATAATTATTTTAAGAAAATGTGACTTTTTACTTCGGCATTGCCCCACGTTGGGCGTCAAAATTTGTAACGGACTTTTTTTTAATTAAACAAGATAAATAATAATAATAATAAAATAAAATTTGAGTTTACAAAAAAATTAATATCCAGAAACTAATATGTTTCTTCAATCTAAAAGAGAATAATTTAAAAAAAAAAATAATCTGTTAGGCGCCAGTCCATTCTTGGGACAATTCTTAAAATTTAAATAGGGTAATATTCTGTAAAACAAATAGAACTAAATTCCAACAAAAGTAAAATTATAGAATAAAAACAAGACAAATAATATAGCAAATTTATGTAAAATTCAATTATTAGATTAAAGACCATGATCGATTTCGGGAAAATTGTTGCTAGCTTAGACCGAGAAGGGGGGTTCGAGAAAATCACAAATTACACTTAAAACAAAGTAAATAACAATTTATTAACCCTTTCGTGCCTCCGGTACATATATGTACCACTTACAAAATTTGATGTAACTCTTACAAATTTAACCCAATCAGTAATTCCAATGGATAGTTTTATTGACAATCGTTATTACTATATGTTAAAAAATAGAAAAGAGTATTATACAGTTATAATTATTTTAAACAATAGGTACAACATTGATAAAAAATTAACAAAAGTTATATATCAATAATGTTAAGTCATTCATTTAGGCTTCATCCGTTTTTAAGAACACATTGACTTTTAATCTTTTCGAGGTCGCTGATTACGAAACTGGAGTCAGATTTTCAAAATGCAAAATGGCGGATCCAATATGGCGGTCGAATATACAAAATTTTATCTGTTCTCTTCAAATTCGTCACTCGGGGGTTTTTGGGGTCGCTGATTACGAATCTGAAGTCAGATTTTCAAAATTCAAAATGGCGGATCCAATATGGAGGAATAAATTTCAAAATTTCACCGATTTCCCTTAAAACTCATCACTCGGGGGTTATTAAAATTATTATTTTATTAAACTAATTATATTGAAATTATTAATTTTATTTTAATCACCATCTTAAAATTATATTTAATTAATTTCTTTCATATTA